AAAAAAAAAAAAAAAAAAAAAAAAAAAAAAAAAAAAAAAAACACATCATAGTAAAACCAATACCTTCTCAGCTTCGCATCGAAGCTAAAATAAAAATTAATAACATTTTATGTTATATAGAGTAAACACAGATATGTATAGAGTGATTGATTAACTATGCCTAAAAAATTTTGGCATAGTGAGGCATAGTTAATCAATCACTCTGTATAGCAGCCTATAGACAATTTTTGCTGCAACCTAGTTCACCACTGACTGGTAGAATATTAAAAAAATATGTATATGTTATCTAAGTAGGAAAAATTTATTCGCTAATAGCTGTTTAATTATTTAAATAAAATTATTCAAGTAATTTTTCTGTAGATTCTCTCCAATTGACAGTAAATCTTTTACCAAGATTATAATCATTTAACAAATCCATTACTTTATCAGATATAAAAACTTCATTTGTTGGTGCTGGAAACTCGTTATATGGTTTCCATTCTCCATCCTCTAAAACAACTGGTTGTGACATAAATATTCCAAATGGCAAGTTGAACGTACCTAACAATATAAAATATAATTTACTGTCTATAAATTTAAAAAATACTATGACGAATCTAGACCATCAGAAAAAATTGCTGCGCATAGAGATTTATTACTCTTATTTCCAAACCATTCTGATATAATAGTGACTGTTGCACGAATTTCAGGTAATATTTTCAATGAACAGTCATTACACTTTTTTAATTCCTAAACAATTTTTATAATTTTTTTTTAATTTTCTAATGAAAATAAAATTTAATAAAATATATAGTATAATTTTATATACACAGTGATTGAAGTGAAGGGTGATATGTAGGAGTGGCTCCTATAATTTTTTTAATTTACATTTTTTATCCCTTCTTTTATTTTGCCCGAAATAATACATTCCCCTTAATATAGTAGAATGTACAATAAGCTTATTGTTTTTATACTAATAAAAATAAATTATAATTTTGTAATTTTAAAATTATATTTGTTCAATTACCTAAAATTAATTTACAATATTATGGTAGGTTTTATAATTTGTTTTAATTATAGTGTTCTATTTGAAATAAGATAATTAAAATTGACCCACATTATTATATTTTTTACAACTATTATTTTATTAACCAAAAATAATAATGGAGTACAATGAAACTAGAGGCTTCCCTCCACTCTGACCACTATCTATATAATTGTAATTATAGTGTAAGTTGAAAATATTTTTGCTTTAAAATTTAATAAAATTATTATAAAAAAGTGTTTTTTTTTATAATAATTTGTTATAATAACTAGTCGTAATAATGATCATTTATTATAATATACAAACACAGGACAGATAAAGTAGTTGAATAACAAAATATATAAAATTGTAACTTAGTATGGGGTTTTAAATATGAACTACGAATTTAATACTTTGATTCATGATCTTAACTAACAAAAACTAAGATTTTATCGTATTAGCTAATATAAGATACTAAATTGATGATCTCATACTGATCCATAATTCACATATTTATAAAAAAACAGGTGATAAGAATATTTAGCGCTAAATATAATTAAAACATTTATTTATAATTAGTGGTTCATTAAGTTTATTGAGTATCACACATTATACATATAGTCTTTCACAAATATGAATTGCGTGTAAGTTGTTTAATTTTTTTTAAATTATTAGATATACGAATAAGAGTTCACTGGAGTTTATGTAAAATATAAAATATGTCCTGTAGAACTTAGAGAGCAGTTAAAACAAAGAAAATCTTTAATTCAATTTAATGTGCTTTTTTAGGAAAAACTTAAAACTATTTCATTAAAAGTAATGTATAGATCAGGCATTCCACCGTCATTATTAGAAAATATTATTTGGCAAACATTTTTTAAAGCTATTTGTCCAAGTTTTTATATTCCAATTGATGATATTTACTTATCAAAATACAAAATTTATTTTACTTTATTATTTATTATACTTAACAAAATAATGTACAAGGTGATGCAGAAATATCTTCTGACATTCAAGATTCCTCAATATCATTTTGTAGTAATGATGACTAGGAATCTTTAATATCAGAAAGTAAATTAGTATTTAAATATTCTATAAGTTTAGAATTAGGAACAGTCTGGCTAAAATTAATTTGTTTTTATTTATATTTTGAATTATTATTCTTATAAATTGTAATAACATAATATTTTTTTATTTGAAATGTTTGCAGATGTGTCACATCATTAGTTTTGGGCTGACGTATCGGACTCGTTGCAGAATCTATCATTGGTTTAATAGTTATAGCTTTGTGATTGTAACTATGCTGTAAGGTTGGCATGTTTACAGTTTGTTTTTATATCGACTGATAACTGATAACGTCGATATTGATTATCTGTTGTTATTTTTGTTGTTGAAAACAACGGTTAGTTTGTTATTTTCGTTTGATACTTGTTTTTGTTTATAGCATTGGTATTTAGCTCTTCTTTTTCTACACCAGTAATTTTCTGATATGTTAAATATATATAGAGTGTTCAGTAAGTAAGGAAATGGATTTCTAGTGTTCTTATTGTTTATAAAAATTGATCTGTTTCCTTATTTACTGAACATTCTGTATAACATTAATGTGAAAAAAAACTTTATTTAAAAGGAAGAGCTAATAGCCTTCCTGTTGCTTTGCTATTTTCAACAACAACCAAAAAAAAAAAAAATGCCAAAAACAATAGGTAATCAATATCGACGTTATTAGTTATCTATTGATATAAAAACAAACATGTCAAGCCTACAGTATAGTTACAATTACAAAACCTGTAATTATAGAACCAATGGTAGATTATGCAACGAGTCCGAAACGTCAGCCCAAAACTGAAGACGTGGATACATCTCTACACATTTCATATAATATAACTATCTATAAAAGCTTTAACATATTCATAATATTTATTTTATTAGAGCAATTTTTTTTTTTAATAGAAGTTATTACATAAGTTATGTAATTTTAAACAAAACATCAAATTTATTTTATAATAGATAATTAATAAATTATAAATAATTATTTTATCTGGTAATATTTTTTCACTCTATGACAATAGCTCACATATATTTAAAATTTATATTAGAGATAATTAATAATAAAAAGAACTTAATTAAAAATTTTCAACTTTTCAGAAATTTCTCAAAACTTTTTTTGATTAATTTTCGGAAATTTTTAACACTAAGTAACAAAAATTAAAATAATAATAACACAATAAAATTTATTTTTGTTATGTTATATTAAAAGGAGAATAATTTTTTTGATGAGCTATACATACTTCATTTGAGTCATAAGTAAATTGTATAGAATTCATGATACTTCCCAAAAATTTATGTGTTTTATAATATTCAAATTTCGATTGTGGTTTGTTTTTCGGGTTTAAATTGCTTTGTACATCTGTGTGATACATTATATGGTTATAATCAATATACTTACTGTACCCAATAAAACCCCAAACAGGAGGACAATGCAACTCTGAAATTGGTATATTAGTCGCCTAGTTGAAAAAAATAAAATAAACATTCAGTCAAATTGTGCATAGTAAGGTCACAGAGTAGGGTAATTTAGGGGATTTAGAGGCAAAAGGGAGGTAAGGGACATTGTCTATTTTAAAGAAAAAGTAAAATAGGCGTTAATACATTTAAAATAGCATGGGCTTTTATAAAATAAAGCTTATTAAAATGGTCCCCATCATTAACCAACCTAAGGTTAAAGAGGTCTCGATATAGATTGGGACCCCCTGTAAACATAAGTAAGCTCACTTAAGTAAAAGGGACCCACGGTTATATTGAAACATAATGTAAGTTTAGGTCTACATATGCATGCGCAACATTGTTTAAATACTGCGCAAGTTAATGGAAGGGAAGAAAGGCATTGCTAAAGGTATATTTAAAATGGCGGGTTGTTTCTCGCGTAAGCATCACGTATACAAACTTGTAGTCTAGTGGTAGGGGTAATGGTATTCTGGCTTTCTTCAAATCAGTAGGTATAATGGAGAACCTTACCAATATTTACTTCTGTATAGCGGAGAGGGTTAATGAGATCTTAGTGTAATAACTGAGCCGCCCTATGTTGTGTACGTCATTACCGTTTTTCAAAAAAACATACGTTGTAATAATATCCTTCGTTCTAATTTGCAGTACGTTAAAGTTAAATAACGGCCACTGCCGCCGCCGTTCTTAACTATTCATAGATCGACCTTACTGTTATGCTCTTATGCATGTGTGTGTATAACAAAGTAGGAATAGTATAGGACCTATACTATAGGTTAAACAGCGACCATCACACAATGATTGTTTCATATAACAAATTTAAAAACTGTTATGTTAAATGTTATGATATATAACACATACTTTTTACCTCCTTTTTGACGCTAAATCACTTAAATTATATAGCATAGAGAGTTTCATGCAAAAAATTTGCCTAAAAATATTTTTAATTAACTATTGTTAATCTTATTTAGGGGTGCTATTTTTAAAAAATCGGGGACACTAAACTTATCCTCTACTGTTTAACTTAAAGTTTCGGCGCTAATAATTGAAAAAAAAATGAGGTAAAATATTATAAATATGAAAAACAGTGATTTTTTACTCAAGAATAGAATTTTTTCATTAGAAGTAATTTATCAATCTATATCATATCAATCATATTAAACATACTTAAAATTAAAGTTTATGTTACATATTACATGTTATATGTTACAAGTAAAAAAAAATTTATTCTAAAAATTATTTTTTTTTTTAATGGCAGCCATAGTTTTAAAACATGCTATTTTCGTATTAAAATTCTCGGTTTTATATTTTTAACTTTATAATTTGTGACCTCTTTCATTCAATATCGTTTTTTTTATACTTATTATTTACTCTTATACCGAGAGGTTAAAAAATTAAAATACGCTAAAATAATTTGAACTTTTTCAACATAACTATTGAAAATGCTTAAGAAAACTTGTATTTTTTAATACGATATATGATATAGATTTAATGCCATTCAATACAATTTACTATAATATAGATTGTGACCTGACAAAATTTTGAAATCGCAAAATACCGTTATTTCGTAACAGTATTAGATGTGGTAAAGTTGAGGACACAAGATCCTACACTCATATGATTTAAAAATGTATAGCTTAAAATAATATGTAAAATATTATTTGTCTAATTTTCCGGCTCAAATTATTTTTTAAATAGAAACTGAAATCTAATAAAGGATAGTTTTTATAGAGGATAAATTTAGTATTTAAGCTATAAGACCTAGCAGCACCTTTTTTATTTTGCTGAAAAAAATTATTCAATATTTTACGCCACTATTAGAGTGACTAGTACCCGTGAAATACTTGACAGTGTCTCCATTCCAAAGTGAGCTGTTACTCCTACAAAATTATACAAGTATACTTTTTCAGAATGTTCAGCTAATACGTTTAGATTGAAACATAATAAATCCATTCCCATTAGTAAAATTTTGCACATTTTTGGACAATGTAAATTTAATATACAAGATAAAAACATCATATCATCATAATTTCGCTTAGTCCAGGATTTAAAGCTTTCTTTTTCTTTTCTATTTCAAAATATGAAAAAAAAATTTATTTTAAAAATTTATTCAATTTATTTATCGTTTAACATACAAAAGTACTGTAATGTACTTTTGTATCGTTAAAAGTAAGGCTAGGAACCGAAATACTTTTAGTTTTTCGAAAAAATGTTCCTAACTAATATGTTAATTGACCTATAACAAGAATTTTAAGAATTTGTAAGATTATTAATTCTCTCTCTCTCTTCATGGCTTTTGTGGATATCGAAAAAGAATTTAATAATATGATTTGGACTTAATGTTTAACATGATAACAAGAATGGGAATAAAGTACGCAGATGGAAAATTGCTGTATAAATGATATAAAGATGAGGTAGCTGTTGTAAAATTCAAGTAAAGTAGAAGAAGAAAAAATAAATAAAGGAGTTAGACAAGGATGCATGCTATTTCCAATCATATTCAACGCATATATTAAAGAAGTAATAGATAAGATAAAAGAATATACTAATCTAGGGATAAAGATCAACGACCAGAAAATAAGCATGTTACGCTTCGCCGATGACATAGCCATGTCATGTTGCTGAAAATAAGGAATATTTAGATTAACTGATTAAAACTATAAATGAAATATTCATTAGAGATTTGTATATGAAAATAAACGTACAAAAATCAAAAAAACTCGTCTATGGAAGAGAGAATAAAACCAAAGTACAGATAAAACTACGAGGAAATCAAGCTGTAAAACAAGTAGATGAATTTGCATACCTGGCGAGCACAATCAGCAATGATGGGAGAAATAGGAGTGAAACAATAAAACGCATCCGTCAAGATAAAATAGTCTTTAACAACAAGAAAAATCTACTTGCATCAAGAAACATTAGCCTAAAAAAAAGAAATAATTTATTGAAAACATATGTATGGAGTGTAGTCCTTTATGGATGTGAAATCTGGACAATATCAATACAAGAACAAAAAAAGTTAAAATCGTTTGGAATGTGGTGCTATAGAAGAATGTTAAGAATAAGTTGTGTGGAAAGAGTAACCAATGTAGAGGTACTGGAAAGAATAACAGAAGGAAAGTTATTATTAAATAATATAATAAGAAAACCAAATTAATAGATAGGCCACATAATGCGTCACGAAGGATTTCTAAAACTAATTATAGAAGGACCAAGGATGCAACTCATATGTAGAAATAAAAAGGAAAGCGAATAACAGAAAAGAATAGAAGATGGACCAATCCACGAATTGAAAACGTAGAGAAAGAGCGTAAGGTTGGTAATTGTGGAAATCAAAATAATTATGAACAGTAGTTTCTTAAAATAATTTTCTACAAGGAGACATTTGAAAAAATTTGGGGTAGTTCATATTACATAAAAAAAATTAAACTTTTTATTATGATTTGTTTAATTGTGTTTGTCTGTTACTATTATAGTAAACAGTGGTATTTTTTTATTTTTTTTAAATTCTTATAAAAATTTAAACCTCTTGATGCTGCCCATTACGATCAGTAAATCACAGTTTATTAATCCTTCTTCAATACTATTAACGACTATGATTCCATTGTGACCTCGTATATTACCTTCAATATTCCTTAGTTCCATTTTTATTTTCATCAAATCTATAAAAATCAAATTAAATTAATTGATATTTTGTTTCAATTTTATGGAAAACTGTAAATTTTTATAATCTAATAAAAGCTTTATCTTAAGTCTAATTTTTGAATGGTAGAGCGATGTAATCATGATGCGTACACTAGGTTTCTCAATTATTTACTTATATAACTTCAGAAAAACAATTTTTGTTTTTCAGAAAATTTTCATTAAACGAAAATATACTATAATGATACAAATATATATTTATATAATATTTTGAAATGTTAATATTACGTTACAATTAAAATATTAATCGCATTAAATTTTTGGTTTATTTTAAAAATGTATGTTTTTAGTCTAAAATAAATGAATTACCACTATACTTTTTTATATCCTTATTATGTAAATGTACTACGATTCCACCTTTTGTTTGTATCGATTTAAGTTGCAAAAGTTCAGAAGTTAAAAAACTAGTTGATGGATACGTTGCACCAGTTATACATACTCTGGTCGGTTGATACAGTTTTTCTTGATTTTGTTGTGCCGATTTAAAAGTAATTCTCTAAAAATAAGATAAATCTTATTCTTTAATCACTATATTGATTTAGATGACATTTAAAATCTATCTGGTATTTTTAAATCAGATATTATTACCTTACTCCTAGATATATCATCATATATGAAAAAGTAACTTTATAAATTTATGTAAAGGTGTATTTTCAACAAAATTTCGGATTGGGATGAGGAAAAATTAAAAATTAGTAACACTAAGGGTGTAACTAAGAGAGAAGAATATAAATTTAGTTTCGTAAAAAAAATAAATATTTATTTTAACTGAAGAGAGTAGTACAAATCTTTTTTTATGAATAATTAGCCCCCTTTGAATAGCAATATAAGTTATGTATGATATTTTTATTTTTCTCGGCAAGATGTTTATTCTGAAATTCTTGAATTGCAGTAGTTTTTTTTTTTATAAAGTAACCATTGAAATTGAAATTATAATATTCTTCAAAAAAAACATTTTTATTGGATTGTTGTTATGGATTGATTACATTTTTTTATGCTATTAGTTCTGAGTAGACTATAATCTAAAAGACCATTAATTTTCCTCTGAATTTATGGATAAACATATGTGTATGAAATTGCAATATTTTAAATATATTAAGTTTTATTTAAAGATGTCCATTGCAAACTCAAGAGTAGTTTATTTATTATAAATGCTAGAGCTAAAATATTTTATTGAACTAAAAGACGTTAAAAAAAGGAACTAGTCCCATTTACTAATATTGGATAATTAAAATATTATATTTTGAATCTATATATAATTAACACGTTTTTTTGAGGGAAATGTAGAAGGCGACATAAATGATGTGTGAAATAGATTTATTAGTTGTGTTAAGAATATTGCAAAGGAGATGGTTGGTGTGAGTAAGAGTAGAATAACAGGAAACAAGGAATCCTGGAAGTGGGATGAAAACGTTCAAAAAATCATAGAAAATAAGAATAAACAATTCAAAGTATGACAGAAAAGCAAAAGGAGGGAAGATTGGATGGAGTATAAACGCTTGTGCAAAGAAGCCAAGTGTGCAGTAAGTAAGGCGAAGTTAAAGAGGTATGATGAGTTGTATGATAGGCTAGGAACAAAGGAAGGCGAGAAAGAAATCTATAGATTTAAAAAAGTAAGAGACAGAAGTACTAAAGATTATCATTATATAAAGATTAGGGAAAAGAAGAAAAAGCTGTGTATGGTATTAAGAGATTTGGAGAATTTGTACGATAGAGTACCGAGAGAAATTTTAAAGTTGGCATTAATGTAATAAAGGATATATATGATGGCACTTGTATCAGGGTAAAAAATGTAGGAAGTGTAACAGAAGGTTTTAGGGTAAGAGAAGGAGTGCACCAAGGTTTTGCTTTAAGTCCTTACTTACTTTCTATAGCGATGTATAAAATTACTAGAGAAATACAAGTAGTGGTGCCGAGGTGCATGTTGTTTGCTGACGATATAGTATAGTTAATAAGAGAAAATTGGGAGGAAATTAATCAAAAGCTAGAGGTGTGGAGTTCAGCTTTTGAAGAAAAAAGTTTAAGAATAAGTAAGAGTAAGACAAAATATATACAGTACGAAACAAAAGAGAACACCGGGTAGGCGAAATGAGGAGTTCTGTGACAATAAACGAGGAAGTAATAGAAGATGTTGAAAGTTTTAAGTATATAGTATCAGTAGTGCAAAAGTACGGTGGTATTGACGAAGATGTAAGTCACAGGATTAAGTGTGATTGGTTGAAGTGAAAAAAAGCGTTTGTTGTGTTATGCGATAAAATAATTAAAAGATAAAAATCTAAAAGATAAAATCTATAAGTCTAGAGTACAGCTATGATGTATGGTTCAGAGTATTGGGCGGATGATAATAGAATAGAGTAGAGAATGAGTGTAGCAAAAATGAGGATGCTTAGATGAATAAGTGGAGTGACTAGAGAGAATAGGATAAGTAATAAACATATAAAAGGGAGTTTATCTGTAGCGTTAATTATAAGTAAGATGAGAGAAAATACACTTAGATGGTTTAGTCATGTTATGAGAAGAGAAGAATCGGAAGCCGTAAGAAGAGTTGTAGAAATTAATGTTGAAGGAAGAAGAAGTAGATGAAGTCTAAAAAAAGAGATGGAGAAATGTTATTGAATGCAATATAATGAAAGCTGATGTGAGTGTAGAAGATGTGTTAGATCGTGTCAAATGGAAGTTTAGGATAAGAGGTGGCCGACCTCAAGTAGTTGGGATTATGGCGAGGAAGAAGAAGACGTTTTTTTTGAGGGAAGTGGTTATATAAACTAGTATGTATTAGAACTACATATATAAATATTTGGGATTAACTTTCTAAACAATGTGTAAAATGTAAATCAATGTTAACAAAGAGTTAGGCCATTAAAACTACCTTGTAATCTTATACTAAATATAAAATATTGAATTGTAGTATATTTTTCATTAATTAAGGATTACAAAAATGTTGATGTCTACTTAGTTCAGATAATTATAATCTTCTACCCTCTGAAGAATTTTTTTGCGATTACCACTGCATGAGTTTTTTTCTAATTTATAATGTTATTACCTCGACATTATCCAAGGCAATTTGTTTTTTTAAATGACTTTTTATTCGCGTGTCCACATTATAATACTCATTAAGAATCTCAAAAAAATTACTGATTCCACCAATTGGAGTACATGGCCCTGTGATATTACCAAAACGTCTCCAAATGAAAGGATTTTCATAACTTATTACCCATTTTTGTTTCAAACAAAAGTTATTCAACCAATCCTAAATTAAAACATAAAAAAACACGAGATATTTAATATTTATTACAATAAATTTAATATTATAACAAATAGCAAAATTTCATTTTATCATCTTTTTTTTAAATTTTTTTATTTATAAAGTATTCCTAACATCTCGTCATCTAGACTTATAGTTAACAAAGTAAATTTTATGACATTTAGAAACTAACTAACATAAATATATACAAGGTCATTAAGAAATGATAATATTTACACTATTCTATGATTAATCTAATTACAAGTATCATCATTTTAAAATTTGTTATTGAATTTTTAATTTTTTTATTATTTGAACTCATGAAATAAAATTAAAAATGAACTAATAAAATGATCATATAATTTTTTTTTAGGAGTGGGTTGCATTTCTAACTTTTTTAAATCTCTTGTCCAGCTTTTTTTAACTTTGGTGCCACTGTCACAAAACATTATTAATTTAAATTAGTGTAGCACTAAAAAATTGAGCTGCTTTTTTATAAAAATGAAATATTAACATGTTTCATTATTTTAAACGAAGATATATTTCTTACAAATTCAGGAAAATATCATTATTTGACTAGGAGTAATCTTATCTAAGATTAGTTGTAACACCACCAATGTACATATTTTGACAAATTATACTTTATTAACGAAAAAACCAAGTCGATCATAGTTGTATACAAAATAATTGTAAATATCATAATAAATATTCTTAATATCAAAATATTTCTTATATTTGATTACCTGATATTCTTCTTTAAGTTTCACAACTACTTTGTATGAAAAAAATGGTAATGTGTTTTTTAACTTTTCAGCAACCAGTTTAGCGTGACCAAAATCAACGGAATTTGGTATGCCAGCGATTAAATAAATGACCATTTTATCTTTTAATAAATATAAATGGTTTAATATATTTAAACTTTTTATATTTTGTTAAATGAACAGTATTAATATTTCCTTGACAACAAATATCAATAAGTAATGACTAATTAAAAAAGAAACCATTTTTAATCATGACAGTTATTTGCAGGCCAAATATAAATATATAGACAAAATTTTATACTTTATTAATTATTTAAATATTTAAACATTTAAAAAAAACCTCCTCGATCTTCCCTATATTTTAAAGAAAGTATTTAAATTTTATATGTACAGAGTAACTCTTTTAATACTTGCTACTCGATTTCTCTTAAAATAATAATGTTGAAAAAAATTATCTTTGATAATTTTAGTCTCATATATTTTGATTTATTATAAATTATAGTAATGAATTATTTCATTATATCTAAAATTGTTATTAAATCGCAAAATATGTACTAAATATTTATAACAACGCTGTTTCCCCGAAACTTCCTATCTAATTAGTTTACCCAATAAAAGTTAAATAAACCAATTAAAATATTTCTTATAAAATATCTTTAGACTTATCACTTTTCCTCTTAGAAAACGGTTAATCTTCTTATTTTTCCTCGCCTTAATCCCAAATACTTGGGATCCCAATTAACCTTAGAGAACAGCTAATAATCTAGTTTAATTCAGAGAAGAAGATTTTTTAAAAAATATTCCTCTGCATCTACTTATATCACGACATCATTCTCTGAATAAAATGAATAATTTTATTATTATAATTATATTAAAAAAAATTCCTTTTCATAAGGGAAGACCGCAGTGATGGAGTCCCTAATTTTTATTGAAGTTATACAATGAATTCAATCTGCTAGAAATAAAAATCACACGAATTTTGAACTATTTCCTATAATATAATCAAATAAAATGCAAAAGTTATTGACACCAGCCATAATTTCATATCTCGTACTTTAAGCTTGTAATACTTATGTATTACTGACCAGCAATCGTACATCATAATTATTGATAGGTATAAAAGGTAATTTCAGCTAATTTAAAATTTTAAAATCGTTTTTCACGACTTAATGGAAGCAAAATATTCAAAATAAATTTAATTTTGTATTCAACGTAAGTTAGAGTAATAGAGCTTTTATGGAAATCAGTAACCTCGGTTACAGTGGAATCTTCTTGTACAGTATTTTAAAATAAAAAAATTGCTTAGTTGTACATTTCTTAAAAAGCAATAACGGTGTAAAAGTGAAATCATTAAATTTAAATTAAATATTTTTTGGCAGGGGAGTGTAGTCGAAAATCCACCACCACCGGAAAACGTACAAATTAAAAAAAAAAATTGTCTAAGAATATTTTTAATAAGTTATAAAGGCTTAAAGTTATATTGTAACAAAAAAGTAGCCCTCATTTTTTTAAATATTTTATAATAATGATTAACTCTAAGACTTTCGAAGATAATTCATAAGATGCAATTAACAAATCACTCTGTATAGCTTATACACTTTAAACATGTTCAGGTATAATAAATTATGTAATCCCCTGTGAGTTGGGACCAGAATACACTCACGGTAGTCCATGCCCTTCGTAAAATTTGATCTATCAATAGCCAGCAGCATTGTTAGTATAAAATATATATTTATTTACACTTAAATAGAATTTATGCATAAAAGGTAGCTGCTTAAAAACAAAAATTTAATATAAGTATGAAGAAAAATGTTGCCCAATGCTATGTATATAGTGTACTACTACATAGCTGTGAAACATTGACCATCAACGGACAAGACAAGAAGAATTCGGAAGCCATGGAAATGTTGCAGAGAAGATTGTTGAAAATCAGCTGGATAGAAATGTAACATAAAAGTATTAAAAGTAAGAAGTGGTCACCTACTGAGACTTAATAAGGTAGAGACTGACTAAGGATAGCATGAATAGAAGAAATTATAAGACAAGCTGACTGTAATCGATACGTAGACATGAAAACATTTACTTTTAACAGTGAAAATGGAGAACAAGATTACCAACGACAAGGCAAGGCTTTTAGTAGAGAAGAAGATAAGAGGAACAGTATGTATATATATATATATATATATATATTTTAATTTATTAAAACACTAATAAACATTTAAAACGATTGAAAAATGATAAATTTATGCAAAATGTATTAAGCAAAAACACTTAAGCAAATAAATTTACAAATATAACACTACTTATCACATGGCAAATAATAAAAAATATAATAGATTGTAAAAGTACAGAAAAATACTTGAGCAGTTTTTATTATTGAGTGTTTTATTAGACAAAGAATGATTTTAACAAAATTTATATTTTTATTGCACATTAATTTAATGCTAGGGTTACACTTTCATAATTTACAGTGCAATTTTATCAAGTATATGCTAAATTTTTTTAATCATAATAACCAATATTTAACTGAAATTAGTGAAAACATAAAAAAATATGATGTGCATAGTTTAAGAACATATGGAAACGCAATAAAAACTCATAGCGAAATCGTATTAATAATGTTAGATGTGTTAAGGGAAGTTGATAAAAATGTTTACTCGAAAGAATTAATGTCACTCAATTTATACTTAAATAATGTTTCTGAATATGTAGATTTTTATGCTAAAAATGACGACGGAATATTTGATTTTTCAGATCGAACTTCAAGTATATTAGAAGGATACACGATGATTCATGATTTTTTTATAGATAATTTTAAGTTGATAATATCTAGTCAGTGTGAAAAGGTAATAAATGACGAAATATTTATTTATTGTCCAGATTACAACGAATTAAGAGAATATACTCCTGAAAATTTTCAATATGTTGCTAATAAACTTAAAAACCGACTGTTACAAACTAATAAAGAACAAAATGATACCGATGATAATGTAAAAAGTTTAAAACACAGTAAAGTGTATTATTATTTTTATAAAGCTATTCTAAGATCTGAATATTGGGATTTTTTACCAAAAAATTCACTATTTTATGACTTCATGATGAGTAATTGCAAAATTTCCGAAAAAAATCTAATGATAAGTTCTCGGCTTGAACAATATTCAATTTTAAAAAACGGAGAGAATATAAATGGTTTGGATATGATTCGATTTGCACCACTCATTATAAAATGTCCTGATAAAAGTTATTTGACTCTTTATGACGTATTTAGATTCGTCAAATATACATTTTATAGAAAAGATATACAAGTATTTCATTCACTAATAATGGCATCAACATTTCGTCCTATTGCATTACTCGTAAGAATCTTTATAAAAATTCTTAGTGGATCAATGTACGTTTATAATTTTAATAGCGTAGAAGAAGAATCTTTAAAATTCTATGAAAATGTTATTTCTGTTGGTAAAATAATAATTGCTTGTTTTCAAAATTTTGTCGATTTAAATCTCTTTGGTGGAGGTCCAACTCATGTTTTTCTTACATTTTTATCAAAAACTTCTGAGTGTCTTTATCATTTTATTAATAATAATAATACAGAACTCATTTTATCAACCGCTAATTTGATGAACTCATTAAAATTATTTTTGAATAATCTCAAAATTTACGTATATGATCTACCTAAGTACTTTACAAAAGATATCGTCAATAATCTCTTTAATGAATTGGTTATGAAGCTGAAACAAACTGAAGAACTAGTATCAGAATTAAAAAATCATTTTAAATGTTTTCAAGTCATCAAAAAAACTTTCAAAATTGAGCCCATACTAGATTTAAAATTGACGTATATTTTTAGTGCGTATGTTACAGGTATGTTTTATTATTAATTATTTTAAAACTCAGTGTAAAAATTTTCAGGAAATTAAAATTTTTGGGCAAAAAAATTATTAAAAAATATTATGTCATTTCTGAAACAAAAAATGTCTATTTTATAATAATATTTTAAAATAATTACTAGCTCAATATTATTTTTCAATATCAGATATTAATAACCTTTAAATAATAATAATTATAAATATTATTTAATGATAAATTTAATTAAAATGTAATCGATAATGGTTAATTTATTATATTTTAATACCTTTTTGACAATACTATTAGTATATAAGTATTCTTTTAGTGATTAAATTATATTCAAGTAGTTTTATACAAAGTGATCTATTAAAAATATTACACCCATTTTGTTGATAAATAACGATTTTTTTTATAAAAATATATAGCTGAAATTTTAATTAACTTTTATGAACTATTGTAAATATCTAGTTTATTGTAAGAAAAAATTAATCATAAGTATAATTTTCGAAAGTTAAATGGGAACATATAATTTTTTTAGTATTATATGGATGGATAATGATATAAATCAAATGTTGACAGGTGTATAACTACTAATGTATTAATACTTTTTGAGCTATTATAATCTTTAGACAAAGTGGAGAGTGGTGTACAACCTATAATAATTGAAAATAATAGAAAATAGAATACTATTATATTTTTATACTTTTAAAGATATTGCGTGAGTCATAGTTAATCAATCACCTTGTATTCCACGCTTAAATATTATAATTTACAAAAAAATTCACCTTAATGTTTTTTTCATTACATTAACTTTTCAAAAAAGTTTTCAAAGTATATCCGTTTTGTAGTTATCATTTAAAATATCCATATTAAAAAAAAAATTAGTTTTAATTTCTGAAACGCTATTATATTGTACATATTATTATTTTAGAAATTTTACTTTGTATCTTCTTTAAAATGTATTATACCAAAATAAAAACTATCATCTTTTATTTTTAGATGAATTATGTCAAAATGAAGGTATTTACACATTATATAATAAATTCAACAATCTTAATGTCAATCAAATCGACGATGTCAATGAAAAAAGTTCAGCCAATGATTATGAAAATAGAAACAAGAATATTACAAGGCATCAAAATCATCCTGAGAAATATATACAGAATTATGATTTATTCAATTTAAACAATTGTAATCTATTTTTTAAATACTTGACTGATTACATATTGTTCATATAAATTAATTAAATTTTTATATTTATAAATGCATTTTTAGATTATTATTACATTTAAAATATATTATAAATTATTCATTGAAAATATATAGAGTATAATTTTATTGAGTACACTTCACAATATAAATGCCATTTTTTTAATGTATAAGGTTATTCCTCATTTATCGTTCCTAATTTTTCATCTTTATTACTGTAAAAGTATGTTATTTTTTTGTAACAACCAATGAATATATATATATATTTATATGGTTTCATTTCACTGGATATAAATGTACAATGAAGATATTTTAATTTTAATGACGTATTATTTTGAAGATACATATATTAAATGTATTAGTAAACGTAAAAGGAATAACTTGCAATTTTTAATATTATATTATGGAATTGTGAAAACATTTCATTTAAACAAATTTTCGAAAATATTTCAAGAACCACTAATTCTGTGCGAAGGTTGGCATAGTGGATTTTCGTTCGTTTTGAATAACTATCCAAAGATTTGGGAATGTTTTGATTCATTGAATAATCAGTTGCACAGTGGAGTAGTGGGACGCAGTGTGGACGTGGCTTAGTTGGGACAAGTATAGATGTATCTGTCAGTCTCAAATTCTTTGCTAAAAGAAGAAATACAAAGATACGTCTGAAAGGATTTTGTCAAGATTATGATTTTTGGAACATTTTAGATTTTTTTAAAAGGATAGCTTAAAATTTACAACTGCAGTACTAATTAATTTTTTTGAAATAATGTTTTTCTTTTAAGTTTTATAAAGTTACAATATTTTACTTTTGTAATTAATTATTATGACAGATTATTATTAAGACTGATAACAACTTTTTTTATTATAAAAGTTATTTTAAATAGAAAATTATTACACTTTGCGTGTTTATTACATGATTCATTCCAAGTGAAATCATCTAATATGCGGTTATAGTTCAGAAATGTTTGAAATTTTTATCATAGACTTCTTGAAGGTCATTGAAAACAAAAATATTTTTTTTTTTTACCAGACATCGCATTTTTTATAATTAAAAATATGAAAAAACAAGAAAATATAATTTTAACAACACTTCTGGAGTTTCAAAATTTAAAAATTAACGTATCATGGAAAATTCTAAACCCATTTTTGTGTGCTTTATCTCAAATCTGCAATTACATTTTTTCTATCATCTTTTTTTTTGAGATCATTATTACTAAGTAAAAAACAAGTATTTACATATATAGCTTGTTATCAAATCATTATTGATTTTGATTTTTAATATGTTAAAATAATCTGTGCAAAGTGTCATTTTTAACCTATTTTTTTAAAGTTGATTTCTATGAGAGTTCATAATAAAAAAAGTTTAAACTTTTTACCATACATTTTTTTCTAGCTCAATTTGGAAGTTTGAAATTGACATAATTGGACAATTTTATGAAAGTTATAAAAATGATATTTTTAAGGTTAAAATGAAATCAAAAAATTACTATTTTTAGTAAACATATTTGGAAAGCTCAATATTCCATTAAAATCACTATTTTTTTACATTTTTATTGTAATAAAACATTTCAATAGAAATCATATATTTCTCTTACATCAATTATATATATTTATAATTGATATAAGAACAATATATTGTTTTTCAACGGCGTAAAGTTTTGAGTTAGGTTTAAATAAATACATTTTTTTTATTGAACTACCAAAAAAAAAATTTTTGAAAAAAAGAAGTATTTGAAATTTGAAGTCCTTACTCTTCTTACAGCTTCCGATTCTTCTCTTCTCATAACATGACTAAACCATCTAAGTGTATTTTCTCTCATCTTACTTATAATTAACGCTACAGATAAACTCCCTTTTATATGTTTATTACTTATCCTATTCTCTCTAGTCACTCCACTTATTCATCTAAGCATCCTCATTTTTGCTACACTCATTCTCTACTCTATTCTATTATCATCCGCCCAATACTCTGAACCATACATCATAGCTGTACTCTAGACTTATAGATTTTATCTTTTAGATTTTTATCTTTTAATTATTTTATCGCATAACACAACAAACGCTTTTTTTCACTTCAACCAATCACACTTAATCCTGTGACTTACATCTTCGTCAATACCACCGTACTTTTGCACTACTGATACTATATACTTAAAACTTTCAACATCTTCTATTACTTCCTCGTTTATTGTCACAGAACTCCTCATTTCGCCTACCCGGTGTTCTCTTTTGTTTCGTACTGTATATATTTTGTCTTACTCTTACTTATTCTTAAACTTTTTTCTTCAAAAGCTGAACTCCACACCTCTAGCTTTTGATTAATTTCCTCCCAATTTTCTCTTATTAACTATACTATATCGTCAGCAAACAACATGCACCTCGGCACCACTACTTGTATTTCTCTAGTAATTTTATACATCGCTATAGAAAGTAAGTAAGGACTTAAAGCAAAACCTTGGTGCACTCCTTCTCTTACCCTAAAACCTTCTGTTACACTTCCTACATTTTTTACCCTGATACAAGTGCCATCATATATATCCTTTATTACATTAATGCCAACTTTAAAATTTCTCTCGGTACTCTATCGTACAAATTCTCCAAATCTCTTAATACCATACACAGCTTTTTCTTCTTTTCCCTAATCTTTATATAATGATAATCTTTAGTACTTCTGTCTCTTACTTTTTTAAATCTATAGATTTCTTTCTCGCCTTCCTTTGTTCCTAGCCTATCATACAACTCATCATACCTCTTTAACTTCGCCTTACTTACTGCACACTTGGCTTCTTTGCACAAGCGTTTATACTCCATCCAATCTTCCCTCCTTTTGCTTTTCTGTCATACTTTGAATTGTTTATTCTTATTTTCTATGATTTTTTGAACGTTTTCATCCCGCTTCCAGGATTCCTTGTTTCCTGTTATTCTACTCTTACTCTCACCAACCATCTTCTTTGCAATATTCTTAACACAACTAGTAAATCTATTTCACACATCATTCATGTCTCCTTCGACATTTCCCTCTAATGTCACTTTTGGATACTTCTCATTCAGTAATTTTTTAAAGTACTCTTTCCACCTTTTTTACGCGTCATCATCACTTGATAGTACTCTATTATCAACACTTTTTATACACCTTACATAGTGATAATCTTTAGACCTTATTTCTTTTACTTTTGTAAGCCTGTAGACCTCTTTTCCATCTTCCTTTGTTCTTATCCTACCATACAACTCATTATAACTATTAAATTTCACCTTATTTTGACTACAGCAATGAAGTTATATATTTATGGTCAGGGACCAATCACTGGTGGCGTGCAAGAGCATAAGAACTTTAAGCCAAGGGTGCAATATACAAATAATAAGAATAACGGCGTAACAATGGCTGAACAATTTATTATTCAAGCGACGGCTCTTGCTAAAATAAATTTATGACACATAAAACGAATGACTCAACGAATTGACCCAACGGCGATAAACTGTACACGGATGATAATTGGCACGGAGGTCATTGATTGTCGTGCTGGGTGGGCAAGGGGATGAGAAAAGATAGAGAGCTAAAGATCAGCTATTACACGATATAATATAATCAACGGTATTTGGGACAACTGGTCCACTAGGTCTTTGCTAAAGGGGATCTCTACCAAACAAAAAGTAATTAGAAAACATTAAAATTAAGTTACGCAAAATATTATTACAATGTTGAACATTTCAAATTTATTTAAGACAACAATTTTTATTTACGATGGTCTCTATTGATCAAAACAATTATCATAAAAATGTAATCATATTATATTTAGTTAATAAATTTATCAATAAGATATATTGGAAAACAATGATTATTAATTATTTATAAAATTTTTCTTCACAGTTTAATATATTAAAATTAATATTATTCAAGACTATTTATTAAACCAAATTTTCACAATACATGATGTTTTTTATATTATTTTAATACAAAAATAAAAATAACCATATATATTTTTAAGCTATACTAGGCTAAATATTTATGCAGGTGTTTAGTTTATTATAAATCACTCCATTTTTACAAATACAATAATAGTAGATATAAAATGTTTGAGCTGTATACCCTGCAAAACAGACCTGGCCGTTTTTCTTCTTTTAATAGTTGGATGATGTCATAGTCGTGGGTATGGACAGCAGTCAAAGATTGATGTTAATCGTTCCTATATAGCGTTGCGCTATACATATTATGTTTAACTACATTGGTTTATGTATACTATACATATACTATGGTTGGGTTTTGTTAGATTTACATACTGTATAGTATATCTTGGTATATTCACAGTATACCGAGGTTTATGGAACATCATGTAGTATACCTTGTTATTTAAAGCTAGTACAGTAGGTATGATAGGTATGAGGGTTAAGAGATAAACAATTAAGTAGTGAAGAAAAGGACTATTATATGGGGATATGTTTTTCGTATTTTGCTGGCCACCACATAAAAATATATGATTTTTCTGAATGAAAGACGGATTATTAGTTGAGTAAAATTATTAATGCAGTATCAGTTATACGTCTTAAAAATGTTTTCTTGTTATAAGTATAAAAAAGTGTAAGTTGATATATAAGAGGAAATACATTAGTAGAGTAGTAACACAATTATATTATTATAGACCTCGTCAAGTATAATGAAACAAAGTACGAAAATCGGTGATTTATAACGTCGGCAGTCGAGTTAATAAATGAGGACGATATCGGTCATGTTATGGATATTTCATGTGCAAAATTATTAGAAGAACTGGAAAACTACGCTAGTAAGGATAGTAATTTCTTGTTTTCTAGTATAGACAATCTTTTACTATGTTTTACAAATATCAGCATTTGGGTCGATCTTCTTACATTGATTTGCCATATGATATTAAAAACAGAAATGCAGTAATAAACCTTCAAAATGTTGATAAACAATGTTTTAAATGGGCTTTATTGGTAATAAACATATTTTAAGACAGAACTATAAGTCTATAGAAAACTCTTTCGATTTCGCCAGTTTAGCATTTCCAACACTAATTTCACACTTAAAAACTTTCAAAAAAAATAATCCGCATACTTCAGTTAATGTTTTTGGACTAACATTGAAAGATAAACATAATAAACCTGAACATTTAGTTTATATGGTGAAAATGTGTTCTGAAGAACGTAAAGACCATATCGATTTGTTAATTGTATCAAATGATGCGATTGACAGTCATTTCATTTATATCACTGATTGGTGTAAAAACAAATGACAAAGAAAACGGCAAAAAGGATTTTTTTTAACGGTGTTTCACGGGCTTTATTAAAATACCTAAAGTATAAACTACATGGTCACAGGGCACTAGAAGAACAAAAATAATTGCGGTAAAAACAAACGGTTTTTACTTGTAATGCCTGAAGAGGGGACTAAATTAAAGTTCGAGTCATGAGGCAAAACACAAATACATCGATTTGCAATTTATGTTGATTTTGATAGCTTGTTAGTCAAGTCCAAAAGATATGAAAGGCAACGCAAAATTATATCCATAATCATGTTATATCATATATTGCATTTATAACTATTGAAATTTTATACTAGTATAAAAATTATTATATTATGTAATAAATTAAATTTCTATCAAAATTATTGCGATATTATCGTCTAACATTGACATCAATGACTTGATTAATAAAAGTAGAAAACCTATAGTGGAAATAAATAATTAGCACAAAAATTTTGTTTTATTTATAATTCATTTAATGAATTGTCGACAAACTTAAATTATTGGACTTCTTATACATATATTAAGTAGGGTATCACATTTTGTTTAGTATGAAACACTTAAATTAACATTTTTAAATAAAAAGTAATACAATTATTACAGTAATTACAACGAAATCACAAACTGCACAAAGGGGTTCAAGTAAATAATAAAACTAGTTGATTTTAGAAAAAAATCTAAAAATTAAACTCACATGGTCAAATTAAATATCACCATTTTTCGTATTTACACAATAGCACAAACGATTTTAATAAATAAATAAATATAAATGTGTTAAATACGTAAGTTAAATAGGAAGAATAGCCAAAAATTACATTATTTTATTTTCTGAAAATAACTATTGTAGTTAAAATACTTTTAATTATAACACACTGTAAACCTAAACTTGTTAACACAGCAATATTTTTACATTTATAAAATACTTACAAAGTATGATGTTAATTAGACATGTTTTAAAATATATACATAATATAAGCAATCTTATTTTAAACAACGAATGCTTTAAAAATCAGCATTTAAAATAGTTTTTTTTTTTTGTTTATTACAATTAAAACCCGCATTGAATTAAAATTACATATTTAAAATAAAATATTTTATTTAATAATTATGATTTTATACATGAGCTTTGTAATTTAAATAAATATTGAGCTAGGGTGTTTTTTTATTACAATAATTGACGGCGATATATTTGAGTAATGATTATCGTTAAATTGATAACAAAAATAACTAAATATAGTAGTACAGCTCTAACATATATCTCATTTATTAGAGTTTTATACACACAGCCTTTTTATGAGTTTATGTAATAGGTTTACAGAATAATTATAAAATAAGCTAAACAATTTATTTTAATAAAAATATAATAATAATATTAGAAATTAATTTTATGTAGAATATGAATATCTACAATGATTAAAAATGTGTTTTATAGAATATCACAATTAATTTTGGCAATTGAATTTTAAATTAATGTTATTTCGTGATTACTCATTAAAAGTTTAAATTTATGAATATGATTAACCAATTTATTTATGCATAAAAAAGTAAAATTTTATTGAAAAGTCATAGTTTCATTTATGTAAGAGTAATTTTAAACATTTTAATTTAACAGGATTTGGATTATTAACCTGAACCGACTATTTCTTTTAAAAACGTTAAGCTTTAAAATATGTCAAGTATAAAACGCTAAGTAAATGTTTAATAATAATTATAATTATAATAATATTAAATACAATTAAAAGGCGAGGTTTGTTCCTATTAAATGAGGCATAAGCTTATACAAACTTACAATATTGCACTCATAAAAATATATAACTTAATTAAAACAAGAGATCTAAATAAATGCACACAAACATAAGACAATAAAATAATTGTTTACCGTTAATATACTATTATTGCTTGGTATTAAACAACGCGAAACGTGATTAATGAAGTAAGTAATATAATATAAATAAATAATAAGGCATCGAATTTATTCCAACAGAAACAATGACATTCAATAAACATCAATGAAGAACTTCATAATAGTAACAAATTAAATGTATAAGCTTTGGCAAGTGCATATGTAATCATTGTATATAGAGGGAAACAACTTTCTTTTTCTTTAATTGAATGCAAAAGATACTCTTAAAATGAAGATGTCTTTGAATATGAAAATTACTTTGATTATACATGATATTTTTTTAAATTACTTACAAAAAATAAATCCATAAATTAAACAATGGTTTGCAATAAAACAATTGGCTTGTTTTATGATAATACTGTAAGGGTAAAAATTTAAGTAGCAGTAGACGTACTTTGTAAAAAAAATATATAAAAATAAGTAAAAGTTAGTTAAAAATAAAGACGGTCAAATGAGATCATGTATGGTAAAACAATACATAGTGTGGTTTTTAATTAAAAAAAAATAAAATAAAAATAATTTCAAATCTGTCAATCAATGATGTACACGTTAATAATCACGGCTTATCTTTTATCCGGTCATCTACCTTTTGGTTTACATTTGAGTAGGTCGGCTGCACCTTGTTGTCAGTTGATGGGAAGTGTATCAGATTATGGTTAATACTGCTGCTGCTCGATGAGCCGGTTTGTAGCAATTGTTGTGGAACACTATTTCTCTTCGATCTAATTTCGTCTGGTTTGACGTCTACACCAGCAAACGACTTTCGTTGTTTCTTATCTGGAGGCGTAGCTGCTACCGGAAATATTGGCTGGTGCCCGTCGTGTTCTGTAGACGACATTCGAAGCAAATCGGTAGAAGCATTTTCATAAATAGGTTCTTCTCTCGGGGCAATTGAGTTCTTAGCCTCTTGCGAAGGTCTAGCAGTCTTTTTTGTGTGCTTTGTAGCACCACCACCATGCGCACGATTCGCCCGGATCAACAGAGCAGCTCGTTGCTTGGTACGGTCGGGTCGTTTGTCTTTGGCTAGATCGGGTTTGGATTTGCTTAATTTAACACTGAATTTGAATGGCGGTTTGTACACTACTTGTAAACTAACTTGATTGTCTTTTGGCTTTTGTTGGGCAGTCACTTTCGTCAGTTTCGGTTGTTCCGGTGGGTTGGCGAAACCTGCTGGTGATGACTTAGACTTCCTTAGCGAACCTAACGCTTCAATGTGATGAGAATTTAGTAGCCAATTGCGAACTTTACCTAACGGATCATCATCGGCCAATTTTTTGTTGACCATTGCATTGTTTTGAGTGGCACTATAGTTAATGACTCCTTTAGTCTTTTTTGTTTTGGCAGATTTGCGGTCTTTGAGCTTCTGACCTTGACTAACATTTCTTGGCGATGAAGTCTCCGGTGTAGTAGACTCCTCATCGTTGACCAATTTCTTCCGATTTTTCTTGGCTGGGCTATTGTTGTTGTTTATGTTACGCTTTTCTCTCACCCGTTTTTTTAACGGCAGCTTAGACCGAACAGCGGCCGGATGAACTGTCACGTTTTGAGTGTCTCCATCGGGAGGCAAACGGACAGTTTCTGTGGTAGAACTATGAATTATTGTTACCGATTTTAATTTTGGATCCGATCGCTTTCCAAACAAACGAGTACTTAATACCTAAAAGAAAAAAAAATGTTCAATTAACAAGATGCATAATGTAAAAAGTACTTCTATAAATATATTATAAGATGCAATTAGCAATTACCAAAGTCAATACTATCAATAATATGATAAATTCTGCTACTTCTTGATATAAGACTTTGTAACAATGGAAGTTAGAAAGTGTTGAATAGTTACAAAAATGCTAAAGGTTTACACGTGTGAGTATTAAAATATTACAAAGGAAATAGTTGATATTAATTCTATAAAATCAAATTAGGACTAAATATTACTAGCGTGTAATGAATTGATTGGATAAAAATTTGACCATTAGTTAACTTACAAAGCAAACTCCAAATCATCTGAGCATATTTTAATCCGAATGATAAGAATTTGATAAATGTTATTGATCACACATACGTTACAAATAAAATATTATTTATATCATGCAATAAATTATACTATTTTTTAAAGTGTCAGAACTTACCAACATAACTAGGAATGATGCTACTATTAGGCCTGAGTAGTACCAGTGATCAATGGCCCATTTTTTAAATGAAGCTATGCTCTCTTCAGATAACAAGAGTTTTCTTAACGTAGCCAATGGTCCTGACGGATCAACCTGAAAAATAATGTTCTTTTATCAGTACACTAATTCACAAGTTTTATCTAATAGTATTTTTATAGTTAAACGCATACCTCTCTACATCTTTGAAATACATCGCAATAACCATTATAATCATTACACGGTGTACCCGGCTTAGAGTACATATCCGGTATATCATATGGCACGTGGTTCCAGGAATAAGATGACCTAAATAATAAAAAATAAAATGAGAAAAGTTTTAATAGAAAAGAACATAATTATCGATACTTACAAACACGGTTGATTTTCTCCTGGTAGTTTACAACACAACTCACATGCTTTAGTAGGCGAGTCTTTTGGGCTTGGTATACATTGACATGACTCTAAACCGTAAGCTAAACAAATTGAACCCGTACATTCCTATAAAAATATTAGAGATTAATAAAATAATAAAAATATTAATCAATTTTAGCAATATTATAAATTGAAATTAAATTTGCGCAACACTCACTCCCATGTAACAAACGAATTCTTCATTGCACACAGTCTTATTAGGCTTGTTAATAGATGGAGGGCATGTAGGAGTTCGTCCATTACAGTAACTAGCATCTCGGCAACCATTGTCGTTCCGACACAATTCACCAGTTTTAAGTCGACATTCGGTTGTACAACAAGGACCCTAGAATTATAAACAGTTTTAAGTATTAATACAAATAGTAAGAGGAATGTTTAGTAAAAGTTGAAATATTTACTTGAGAAGGGCTACATATGCTATTAGGAGTCAGTCGACAAGGCGGTTCCTCAGGCGGCGAGTATCTTCTTTGTGGGAAACAACAAGCATCCTTACAATCTTCTTCCCAACCACAATCACATTCTTCACCCGGCTCTACGACGCCATTTCCACAGATTGAAGTTTGTGGTTCTATAGAAAAAAAATAACAGTTATTTTTTAAACAATTGCATCAAAAAAGGAATAAAAAAAAAATTCAATAAATAAATACATACCGGTAAAACATCCTCTTGTACTTCTGGCCTTAACGTTTAATACAGGATTAATGGCAGTTAAGCTACAAGGTGAGAAACGATTATTGTTTTTCTTATCACCCGAAGTAGCCCGAGCAAACATAATATAATTGCCGTCGTCTCCACCAGGAGTACAGATTTCAGGATCGTGCTAATAGTACATGTTAATTAATAATAATGTAAAAACTCAAGTAAGTTCCAAATTGTTACTCTTAAAATAGGAGCCGCTGCCTTGTCAGTTCATAACAACAAAGCAAGAACTCTTATAGATTAAAAAGTAAGCAATGATAGATAGTATAGATACGAACCGGTGAGCCAAAGTTATGACCTATTTCATGAGCCAATGTAACGTGGGACACAGCGGAAGGCACGTGTTTGCCGTAATTTAAAAGAGTAACAATACCGGTGTTTAAGCTTTTTAAACTTCCTCGATAATGCTGCAAGCACAAAAATAATTTAAATTATAATCACATGTAAATGCATCATTCAAATTTACTAACCCCGTTCTTTTCACACACACCACCTGCATTCTTTAAATCGCCAGTCCATGCTAAGCCCAGAGTACCCATTTCGAAATCCCTGTAAGTGAACATATAGGCTAGACAAAATGCATCATAGTCTTCCTCTGAAATAATAATATTTTCTATTAAAATGTTTACAATCCAAATATAAATGATTATTGATTTAATAACTATATAATATGTTGATTTTATGCATACGATAAAGATATAAAAAATGATTGTACTTTCACATAAATTGGGTTCTAGGTAAACTATGTAATTAATTAAACGTGACGATACCACTATAAGAATAAAAGGCTTACACACTAGAGAGGAAGCAAGTAAATAATATGTGTTTTAGTTTGTAATTATCCCGAAATTTTTTATAATACAGCCAAATACATATATAGAGTGTTCAGAAAGTAAGGAAACGGGTTTCTATTGCTCTCATTGTGTATAACAATTGACCTGTTTCCTTACTTACTGAACATTCTGTATAAATTATCACACAGGATATTATAAATATATTAATCGAAATTAAAACGATAAAATACAAATGTTCTTAGAAATCAATAATCAAATATTATCATAAATTATTAAAATGTCTGAGTAGATGAATTATCGATTAATACTTTAAAAACTTTTTAAATTTTTATAAAATTTATCAACGAATTTAAAACTCATGATCCGAAACAATTTTTTTATAATTAGGTATTATGAAACCAGTAACTACTTTTTTAAATGATGACTAAATAAAAATATTCTATTTTTTTGACAGCATTTTACTTATTTGCAAGTCGACTTCTCTTTTATCTATTAATTTATTCGTGGCTAGTCACGTGACTCAAAAATCATATTTGATACTCAAAAACAGTGTGACAAGTTAGGGTAAAAGAAAAAGGATAATAGAAAAGTACACTAAGTATCATAAATAATACTCGAGGTTGTTAACTTGCTATTATAATATTTCAAACTATATATCAAATTTAATAACCTACGCATATACTAATATACGATATGTACAATATGTAAATAATCATTATATATATTCTAATATAAAATATCCATGTGTTATATAATAAGTTCATAAAATTTATTTTTAACAATTTTTTATTGTTTTGAAAATTAAAATCAATAACAATAATTGAATGAAATTAGTAAAGTAACGAGGTCTATATTTTATAAGACTGAAATTTAAATGACGCCATTAAATAAAAGTAAAAATATTCAAGAAAAAATAGCAAACTGATCATTGTATGGCTTAATACGTATACAATTTACTTTTATACGCAAGAACAAGAAAAAAGAAATAGTGACATTAGTTAAAACGCGTTTACACGTGTTCATAATTTGTACGCTTGTTTATTTTTTTAGAGTATAGTAAGAATTTCGTAACATAAAAGAAAAAAATAAATCAATTAGTTAATTATCTAGAACACTTTTTGACATTTTGCCAATTAAACAAAGTAAAATTTAATGGTATAGTTTTAACATTATTTGTATAAGGGTCGTTTATTTAAAGTATAACTCTGAATTATATTGTTTTTGGGGAAAATGACTCAGAAACAGAGCATTAAGGTCAGTGGACTGCAATAGTAACATGTGTGAATCATGCATTATTATTGTAATTCCTTAAGATGTAACACGTTTAAATACCAACAAGCGTTACTTTGAAGGAAATTAGTTTTCAGAACAAAACATTAACATAAAACCGTGCTGAACACTATTCAAAACGCTTTAAAACATCTGATTTTGTACTTAATATACGAAGTAATATGTTTTAATTAATGAATTTTGAAAGGCATTGTTGTTATTCACAACAGTAAAGCCACAACCAACAAAAACAAGTAACAAAAGTTTGTAGGAAACTCGATAATTTTAGTTGTCATCTTAACAATGAAACAAAAAAAAAATGTTTGATTTTAGTGACAAATGAAACTCAACATCTTTCATAAATATACTTCACCTTAATAGAATTAATACCAAGTCGACGCCATAGGTCATGTTACCATTTTTTTCCATTGTACGTTAACTGAGATGTCAACTAGAAGAAGTACCAGCTAAAACTTATAATTATTATCGTTATGATTATTTGTTTTTCTTTTTTTTTAAGTTATTAAGAGACTGGTATAGTACTCTTCGGAGCAGCTGCCGTATAAATGGAATATTAGATGAAAAAAAAAAATCGGAAAATAAAGCCCAGCAGGCAGCGTAAAAGTGTATGCTCTGGAAGTGGTGATGTTAAAGAGCTTTTTGCGTTAACCTTTTGCATCTTTTAAAATGATAAAACGTCAAAAAAATCACTTAAGAAGTTTGTTGTTTTTTTAAGTTCAAATATGGTCATGACGGTGAAAAATTGCATCACATCATATCGAATAGAATATATACATGTACCTTTTAGCATTTAATCTACTTACCGGAAAAAATCTCCAAAAACTTTTCTACTCCGTAATTTCCGAGAAACTTGTACGAAGGGTCTGGGTTAGAATGTACTTTGACTCTCTTAATCATAAAACTGATATTATCTGGTCTACCATCTTGATTAAAGTCTGAAACAAATTTATCAAGTATTAATGAAACTTTGTTACTTTATTAATCTTCATAATATTTCATCAAAATAATTAAACAAAATAGAGCAAAGGGTAAATATTTTTTTAGTCATATAATTGATTTTTACATTGCCTGTTATTTCTTATTGGATTTAATAAAAAGAGTACAGGCATTTCGTTATTGGAAATTTAATATTTCTGCTGGAATAAAATGTTATATGTACTTGTTCAAGTAATGGATAATAAATTCCATAAGGTTAACGTGCAGTAATCAGTTTCAGTAAAAACTAACTTATATATTATTATGAGTAATATTATATGTCTGTCCAACACTATACAAATATACACAACGACCAATAATGATAAAATGATCTTAACACAGTGTTCTGGTGTACAGCCATGTGTATGAAACAATATAATTACATTTTGTGTAATAACATTTATACGATGTTTTGTACGTGCCATAATATGTTTATGTAAAACTACTTATATTTTCATACTTATAAGTATCAATAAGTCGAATATTACATTTATAGACAGATATGCACTAGAATAAACAGCTTTCATAAGAAATCTATGAACACATAGCAACATTAGTTTTTATTTATGATTTTCTTATAAACCAAAACAATAGATTAAGTGTACAAACATATACTCACAGGGCAGTATAAAACGATGAAAATATAACGACATTGGATTGTAACTTTTCTCTAAATAATATAACGTTTGCATTTATAGTCTAAGGATATTCTAGTCTATTGTAGATATGTCCATGCGGAAAATGAATAATAGAAAACATTTTGTCAATGACCTTTGGAGTTTTTATGAGCCACAACAGTCATTTCTATAATAGCGCACATAATATTATTAACTTAAAGGAAATACGCTTCAATAAATCGGAAGGTATCGCGTATACACAAAGAACAATGTAAAACAATAAATTTTGATTTGTACACATGTTTGGTAACGAAACATCTGAAACTTTTTGTAAAATTTCATTAGTACAATTAACTGGATAAAAAATAATAAGTCTAGCAAAGGTAAAAATAAAACATGGAGATACAATTACGTAATATTTCCTCAAGACGTACGTGTTCATTAATTTAATACGAAGAGTATTATACTTACTATATAAAAAGTGGATAAATGAATAATACCTTTAAATTGGACAATCATACACTTTTTTCTCTCTTTACAATTTTTAAGATAGTTCTTAAACATCTAGACATACATTTTCCTTAGAAATAATTCAAGTATATTATAAACAAAAGTGGCAAAGTAGTTAACCAATGAAATGCGATAGAAACAAAGAAATGCGAACGAATATTTTTATAAGAAATAACAAAACAACATTATTATAATTTAATCCAAGAGATTGTTATTTGTACACAAGAACATAAAAATACCAAAAACATTTAATTGGCAAACGGAACACTGGTAGTCTGAAATCTAAATACAATTTAACTAAGAGCAACCCCCTGTTGTTTAAATAAATCTCAGTACAATGGCGGTGTTGCACGTTGGGATCTGGTGGTCATCAACAGCAAAATCGAGCAGACTGTACTCCGTGAATAACAATAAGAACAGACGAACTGTGTATAGACAGAAACATAAATACAAAATGCGCTCAATCAGCTAGGATATAATTAATTTGATTAATGATTCAAATTGTAAATAATACATTTCCACGGCGGTGAATAAAGAATAATCAAGTAGACATTGTTGTACGCAAAATAGGTACTAAGTAGAAAGGGCAAATACAGAGATATTCGATTTTAATTAACATTGTATAATGGAAAAAAATCTCGACTGCCTTCCCTGATAAATCATACAATGTATTTTATTGAACAAACAACGCGATTGGTTTAAAAAACGAATATTTTTTTCACTTAATTTATTTATAACAACAAAATAAAATAAAATAGGAAAATATTTTTTTTATTTTATAGACTTAAAAAAATAACGCTGAAGTACACATGCTTTCGGTAGACTTGACACATAATGCGAAAAACAATATGAATTTTACACGATAGCAGTCGTAAGTAAATAATACATTTCTTATAATATTCGGTCAAACGGAAATTTTCGTTAGACGACGTGTTGCTGTATGTGCTTAATATTTATAAGCTTTCATTTGTAAAATCTATACGGTATCTGTTTAAAGAGAAAATAAGGAACGTGCACTAGTAAAAACTTTACATCTATATTCTGTTAAAAAGGACAAAAACAATATATTTTTATTTTTTTGCAAAGTTAAATATCTTTCTTTAAAGTGAATGAAAATTATGTAAAATGAAAGAAAATAAGTTTTTTCTAGCTTGTAAAGCGTTAAAAGTCAGTCAAATAAATACATAATATTCGATCAGAGTGAACCTTTTTATGTTCGAAGGTTTTTTTTTTATAGAAATTTAGGAAACACTCAAAGACTTTGTCTAATAAAAGCTCAACTAAAAATCAGATGAAATTTTTCGTCACTGCGAAATATTTTCTTTTATTATAATATTATTGATATATTTTTGATACAACATTGAAAATATATTTTTTTATATTATTATTATAAAGGGAAAATAGTGCAGTTATGATAGAATAATTAAAGAAATATTTTTGTAATTTTAATAAAGTAATAAAGATACAAGATAATATGAGTAAATTTACACTAAAAATAAAAATAGTATTAAAAAAATCTACGTGATAAATTATACATGCATGCATAGATAATGACATTAAAAAAAGTAAATTACTCAGTACTTAATCGTGAAAAAAAGTTCTATCACCGTATTTTACACGTTTTATTAATTGGGCGTTATGCGAACAAATTGCCAAACTTTACTGCCGTGTATTTATTAGTATAAAACTGCATTACAGTGCGCTACAGTCGTTATTATTAAAATAGCTTGCAGCTGACTTTAATAAAGAAAATAATGAAAAAAGCCAAGACAAGACCAAACAATGGACGTAGGTGGCATCATAGCTAACAATGGATTTTCGACGATAGGGAAGTCAGATACTGTGGATGGTACAGATTATGATGGTTTTTAACAATTTGTACCGGCATATTAATTTTTCTACGGTATGAATATATTGTCTTGCTTAGGTCTTTAATAAACTTATCGTTACACTGCTTTTAGATCACGAAAAATCATAAACGATGTGCTAATAAAGAGAAGGATACTAAAATTAAAATGTAAATCATAACGATATACCAATGTAATGGTAGTAAAAATATAACTTCATCCTAAGTAAACTTAAATTTAAACTTAGGTCCCGTAATTTGCGATTATAAACAACAAGGACAATCGATTCCTCACTTAACAAAGATTCTTTTGTTTTACTAATGAGAGGTCACGTTTCGGCAATTTATCATTGGCTACAGCAGGGCACGATCTTGAGCGCCTCTTAGGAAGAAGCTGTTTCGCAGCAAATACCAGCAGAACGTCAGCGAACCGGGAGATTTATGAAGCCAATATCTCAAAGTAAGTTACACTCTGTATAATAAAATACAACAGCTGAGGGTAGCCGTTGCAGAAGAATTAACGATCGTGTAGTACATAAAACCGAATGGTCATTAAGAGGTTTCAAATTTTTCGCTAGATTTAGAGGTTGACATATTTTCAGGATATGTGAATTTAGCCGTTTGTTTTGTTTTTATGTTTTCTCAGCGGCAAATCGTTGAACGAATGTAATATCTGCGTATACCCAAAGCACATTTATTAATATTATAAGATAAAAAAGACGTTTTCAAAAAGTATTTTTTGTCACTTCAAAACACCTCCTATACAATGGCGCGTTTGCTAAATCTTTTAGATAATGCATAATAACCGATTTCAAGAATAAACGACCGAATAAAAAATAAATAAAAGCCAAGCAAACGCAATAACAAAAACAAAAAAAAAGAATTTTTATTTTTGAAATTTAATATATAGAAGATAAATTAATTGGAAAACGTAGATTACACAGGTCATCAAGTAATTATCATCACAGATAAAAATATACTATTTTAAATATATTTTTTTGATGATTTCAAATGTGCAGTAAGAATTTTTCTATCACATCTAGTTTTTAAAATAATTGCTAATTATTAAAAAACAATTAATTACAAAATATTTTATCGAATTATTATTGACTTTAATATTATTTTGTTGATCTATGCAAAATTTCGATTAAATGTCATGATTAATCTATTTTTTTTTTTTATTAAGTTCGTTTTTAAGAAAAATTATAATAAAAAGTTGCACTTCTTATCATAACATATTTTTGGGTCAATTTGCGAATTTTAAATTAACATCGTTAATTAAAAAATTTTATGAGGATTTAAAAACTAGTATTGTTTACATTGATTTGACCAGGAACTTGTGTAACTGATAATTACAGCACATTAATGAAAAAACTCAAAAGTTTGTGAAAATCACAATTTTTTTACTATTTAAATCTTAACTTATATAATTACTATTTCATTGTATTTATATTATAATAAGTCATTTAAATAGAAATATTAGTAATCAATCTATGTAAACTCCTGACGATTAAAATTATTCATCTTGATGGTGCCATTGAAATTTCAATTCGTAATTTTTATTTATTCAAAAAAATTATTTTTAAATAGTGGGGAGGCGACACAGTTGGGTCAAGTAGAGATGATATCTGACAGTAATTAGCTATACAATCATAAAAAATTCTTCAATACAAATCTGTTAAAAAACAAAAAAATCTGTATACTTGTAATTTTACTATTTTTGTGTTTTAATTAAAATTTAACACAAATATTAAATACTTGTTAAATTATTTGTTTATTTGAAAATATTTTTTTTTGAGATATATTTTTAACTTCTAAAATTAAGGCGGTTTTATAAATTTTAGGCGCCTATAGATTTAACTAGATTAAAATCGGATTAAATTTATTAATGAAAATAAAATTCAAAAACACAGAGGACAAAATAAAAACAAAATATTACTATATTAATAAAATTGTACTATTTTATTGAAATGTTCATATATTTGTTTAAAAAAATGATAAAAAACATGTAGGATCAAAAATTTGTAAAAATTATTGTTAATATAGTAATAATAAAAATAATTTGAGAAAAAAAAATTGTTTTTTCTTATTCGCAATTACTTGTTTTTGAATAATTAGTAATTATCTTAAAAACTAGAAATGATTAAAAAATATAATTTGAAATTTGAAAGCGGTGCAAAAAATTGATTTAAAAAAGCGTAATTTTGTTTACAAGTGTTATTATTTGTTAAGTAATTAAAAAAAAACTTAAGTAATTAGTGACAATTTTACGTTCTTTTTGCTCGGAAATTGACCATTTATATTTCAAGTGAAATATTTTTTCAACCAAACAGTTTATAAGATGGTTATATTCGTATCAATATAATTACATAGTTTATTAGATTACATTTAATCTTGGCTCGTGATATTGGGGCGTGTCGTATAAATTTTGGCCTTTTATCCTCAAGGGTACAAAAAAAATAAATAATAAACCAACCGGCATCTAATCAATTGACTTGAATTGGATTGACGAAACACCATCAATATATTTTAGAAAAAATTCTTTTCTTATACTTCATTATATTTGTTGCAGTAAATTTATAGTTAAAAATGAATATCAATCTCCCCTTTTAGAAAACTTTCAAAATCAATATATTTAAACTTGACTCTAACTTTATCGCATCATTGAGTGTAAAGTTAAATCTTTCTTGGTATTTTTTTCTCATTTATTATAAACCCGGACAAGGTTGAATATTTAATCACATGTCTTGTCCAAATGAGACAATCGAAAAGTTGTTTCGCCAAAAAGGGAACACGGCGGAATTAAAAAATACAAAATTATTAATAATGATGTCATAATGACAAATATAAATTTTCCGGACCATATTATCTTCTTCTTTCATATAATGATTTTTTTTTTTTTGTAATATTAATTATACGTTAAATACATTTTAACATTTTTTATTTATCTATTAGGATATTCACTAATTGTGGGTAAAAAAAAATCTTAAGGTTGAAAATTAAAAAGTATCTAAGTACTCGATTCAGTATTATAAATTATACAAATAGTAAATAGAAAAACTTAAAAATCTCATCATACTACAAGAATTTGGTTTATTATTACAGTCTATATGCTGCAAAGTGGTATTCAAACGAGAGACAAGAAGAAGAAAAGTTGATAAGGACGACATATAGATATTACGGATGGGTCCACATTAATCAAAGGCCACACACGCGTTCGTATTTATGTACACAGAGAGGGGAGAAATACAGAGAATCTACTCCTCTATATTGTTGTCACGGGTAGTTCTCGACAGCTATGGCTATCATTACCAACTGTCCTACGCCGGTGTTTGCTTGGTCGACCAAAACGTGACAAGCAAAACGATTGCATCATTGTACAACGAAGAGTTAAATGAAGTTCAGTTTGAATTGCTTTTAAGACTGCCACTTTCTTCATTTATTAAACCAAAAACCATTATTAATTAAAATATTTTTAGGCGTACGCGTCTATAAATCCTTCGTGTACTTAACTGTTGAGGAATTTTGTAACGTTCAAACACATAGTTGAATGACACGTAAGAATTTTTAAAAATAAAAACGAATCTCCAATTTAAATTACATGTAGCGCTTTAAAAAGCAATACTAGCGAATAGCTAATTTAAAAATTTAACTTTTTAATCCGGAAAACATAATTGAAAACATACTAAACTGTAAGTCAAAGATTAAGTGAATTTCTACAGAAATTGAAAATGTCAAGCACAATAATGGGTATTTTATTTTTTAAGAAGTAATACAATCATTAAAATTTCACACAATAAACATTTGAGATAGGTAACAATACTTACATAGTAAAAAAAAACGAGTTGCTCTACGAAATGTTTATTGAATAAAAATAAAAAGAGACAATTATTTATTTATTTCAAAGTTGCTTATTTTTTTTTTAAGTTATAATTTTCTAAACTTTATTTTTAAAGTATATGGAATAACTTAACGGTATACTAGAAAGTATTATGTTATAGTTGCTTACAATTCAACCTTAATATCGCCTATTCATAATATCATTGTACAACGCTTCTTTTCTTATTATCATCTTAATTTAATAATATCACAAAAGACTTAAGAATAAAAATAATCCGGGGATAACGATTATTACATAGTGTGTTTGTTACTAAGGAAGTATCATGAAACATAAATTAGTCTATTATTCTCAGATTAATAGGATGTCAGACGCCTAATATCTACATAATAGGTGTACCAGTTCATAAAATTATAATAACCGGTACCACTAAAACATTAGTTACATACATAAAACCAAAAGAAAATCATTAATTTATGAAAAGTCGTATTCATTATGAGATTACTGCCTGCAGCAAATGACATTTAGAATTGTTAATATTTGTTAAGAATTTGTACTTTGTGTATGGTCACGTACCTTAATATTTTTAATTTCAACTGAAAAAAATGTAGTGAGTACAACTATATAACATAGTCTATTTACCTGGACTTTATTTTTATTTGTCATAATAAAATTATTACAAACTTTTGGGTCCTATAGCAAAAACATTTTAAGTAGAAGACGTCTACAGAAATTTAAAACAGGATTTAAAAGATTTAAAAGATTTAAACTTTTAAACCCTAATGATCAGCGAAAATACTGGACGTGATTTCAAAAAGTACCAAAAAAAACCAACACTTTTGGAAATTCAGATTATCACAATACAATCGATACTCTTGAGAATAGTGTAGGCAGTACAACAAAACATTCAAAAAAATGTCTACCTCTATTTTCAGGGAAATAAAAATAGAATTACAAGTGAAAACATCACACTTGAAATGTACTTTGGAATGATCTATTGCAACCTAAATTGTAGATAATACGATACTCCAGATGTATATTATTTTCACTAAAATAATTAAACTGGAATATATTGTGGTTATAGTCTAATAAAATTAAAATGGGCTAATGTTACATCTATGGGTTCAATTATACTTCTAATGTAAAATTTAGAATAAATGAATAATACAAAGCAAGAGTTAAACCATTTCCACTTTGAAATTAAGATATAAGATGCGACCCCGATCATTAACCTTTTACTCAAATGTTTGTAAGTTATGAATAAATTACCAATTCATCATTTGAATAAATTTAAAAACAAGTTAAAATGCACGAAAAATTTAACTCACCCGTAGTCCTGTAAATAGCATTTACCCTCTGTACGTGTCTCGTCATGACTTCGATACACGTTTCTTCTCTACCATACTTTTCAAAAAACAGATGGTCCGCTTGTAAATAAAGCATGCAAGTAGTTTTTCTATTGTCTACGAACGGACTGAGTCCTTTCTTTCGATTTTCAAATGGATCGTAAGTGCCATCGTCCACTACCAAGTTGCTGCTGGCCTCATCACCGGCCACAGCAACTAACACCTTTCTCTGGTCATTGGGATCGTACCAGTTCGGTTTGGGTGCTGACGTTTTGCTAGTGGCTGATTGTCGACTTCGGTTCACGATCGTACCGTTCGGTGACCTGATTAGAATCACGCCTTCTGTATCATAAGTTTGATTAACTAGCCGGTCGGGGGCGATTACATCGTCTTGGTTGAAGTCGTCATCGCCATCATCGACCGACTGTCGTTTTCTTCGACGACGTTTGTGCATTTCTTCAGATCGACAATCACTAGGCTTGGGTTGTGTGACATCCGATAGCCGATATACTATGCTGTGGAAAGGCGATGAACTACCTTTTCCCATGTACCTCGACGTGGGTTCCACAAAATATTCTTCGGTGGCTGTACTGATAGTGCCATCGAACAACCCATCAGCTGTCACCACGCCTCTAACGTGTGTTGTCTCATCGTCTGTAAAAAAAAATTGTTTATACGATTATATTTTAAAGATAATAACCATAACTAAGTAATATATCAATGAATGCATTCGTGATATGTACGTTAGAACAATCACACAAAGTTAATTAGATTCCATTGAATCAAACTTAAATATTTAATTAACATTATGAGAATTGTATTGAAAACTAGATTGAAGGGACTTTGACTGATAGCATTTATAATATCTAATTTAAATTTAATTCAAATTGAATAACACTATATTTTCCATTTAAGGGATTCAAAGGATCATGGCACCCATATAAATTTCAAATGGTCGCATAAGGCCACAAAAGCCTCATTTTAATTCTCCCGGTCAAATAAGTTTGGATTATACCACTTAAAATAATTATTTTTTCTGTTATGTCGTCAATATCTACGAAAATCGCCATGCTAAAAATACTTGGCAACTTTAATTTTAACTAAAAAATATTTTTAGCTTTTATTGTCTACAAAAGTCTTTTTTTGTTAAAAAAACAAAAGACCAATCAACTAGAGTTTTTAACAAAAACGAATAATTCCCGAAGAATTAAAAGTAATTATTTTTAAGTATATAATTAATTAAATTAATGTTATACTAATTAATGTTTAAATTATCGAATAAAGTTAACCTAATAAAAAGGTTTGATTACAAATATAAATTTTCATTCATAAAATTATAGGAGTCGGGTAAATTAAAAAATTGCCAAACGTCTAAAATAAAATAACTTATTGACCCCGTGATATAAGTTCTTATTAAAGTTCAAACTAATTTTAACATTCTTAATTTGACGGGTAAAAAAGCGTCTTTTATATGCCAATGTTCATTTAATATATTATTATAATGTCCCTCGTTAAGGATGATGAAACACTTGCGCAGGCAGACAAATTGTTACAAATAACCTAATTTTCTTTTTTTATGCACTTAATGTTAAAATAGGACTTCTTTTATAGGTATTTTTATCGAATTTAAATTAAGTTTCACCTTTCAAAAATGGTTTTTTTGTGTAAATTTACACTGTTTTCGTAATTATAAAATATTTAGATGCCTTTGAAGTACGAAATAAAACAACATTAATATTGATATGGATCAGCGACAAAATTGTGATTTTGTTAAAAACATACTACGCTGTTTGCATATTAACTAAAAAGGAATATCAGAAAAACCGGTAAATTATTCATTCCAAATTTGTTGTCTTGCAATGGCTATCGATTGAAATTACAAGACGCAATATCTCTGTATGTGAATATATATTTTTATACTGCCATATTATTTGGTTTGAGGTTATATTATTACTAAACTGGAGAGTCCCGCGAGATGATATAATTACATAGTGGTATACAATAACCATAATTTTAAAAGCTAAAACTTTTATAATTCTATTTATCTCTGAAAAGTTTTACAAAGAAAAAAACTTCTCCGTTACCTCTGCTCGCTTAGTTAATTCAGACACAAAATCATTATTTTCCTTTTTTGTCTCAAAAGTAAATTGTATTTTTTGCTCAAATTCCTTGATGATAGGAATCGCCATCTCATATTATTAACAAAATAAATATCCGATTAAAATAATTATCCGATTAAAACAATTATCCCTACCTGACAATTTGTTTTAATTGCCGAACATTTTTAATAAATTAATATTTAATAAGATTTTATAATACAACTATTTTCTATACGCCTTACAATAATAAGGCAAAAATGTTAAGTTTTGCATAAAGTATTATCACAAGTAATAGTTTTGAAGAAAACCGTAACGCGAAATTGAATTAAAGCGTTTACATTTATAAACATGTTTTCTGTTTTTGACAGAATTTTGTACATTGCGTACACATATTTTACACAAATCATAACACAATAGGAGAAAATAAATTCGTGTTAATTGCCAATTAAGTAAATGCAAATAACAAAAACAAATTGGAAATATAAAAATAGTTAAATACGATAAATATTTTGGACAGAACTGACAAATATATAGACGATTTGTGTCCCTGTTTTTTTCTATTTCACACTGCAGAAAGTAGTTTTAATACAAATTAGAACGTGCAGATCGATTAAAAAACGTGCCAGATAGAAATAGCGAGTAATTCATTTCAATAATTTATTATAACCAATTCATTTTTTTTTTTTAATTTTATATTTAAAACAAATAGGTCGTTTAAATCTGTTTCAAATTAAACGTAAATTAATATTGAGGATAACAATTTAATTCAGTAGATAATATTTTCTTGTTCGATAGATGTCATTCCATAGGAAAGACTTAAATCTTGTTTTCATTGATTATGCATACGATTGCCTAATAACAAACACCGCATGTTTAAGCACACAGAAAATTGAACAATATGATTTATTAAATTTTGTAAGTACTCAAAATAATAATTATAATCAATGTAACATCATAATGTGTTTTTAAGTGCAGTTCTTGTGAAACGAATGCCTTAATATCGACCTCAATGTAGAGAAACTGCATGTCACTTGGAGTATTTTTTATCCTACAGACAGTTTATTGAAAAATACCCGACCGATTTCGTTAGATAGGGCCGTCCAAGTGGATTACATATAATACGAAAAAAAAACATTATTCGATCATTACAAAACCATTATGTACATTTTCGGTTTGGTGCGCGTTAGCCAAAAACTTTTAACTTGAACGACCAAACGGCGACGGAGTTTGTACGTTTGCGTCCGAATAGTATAACAGTAAAATCATTATAACGTAACATCATTATGCGCAAAGTCTTAGAAACTAAACTCACCTGTGCAGAATCCATACAATAAATTATATGGACCTCTACTTCCCTAGCACCTATATGGAAATGGGATGATGGGCGGCGATGAGAGTACACACAACAGTGGCAATATGTACGACCCACACAACATTTACACGTAAACACTTGCACTGAGCGAAAAGCACGCACACGGTAAAACTAATTGATCTGTTCGGCAAGTTCGGCTGAACGTACCCTATTTTCAAACGAGTTTCTTTAAATAAACAATAGAAAACTTTTACATTTGAAATAATTTGATTAATTTCAATACGTAAACAACGTGTTACTAACATTCGTATAACCGTTGAAATATGCCGTTCCATAGGGCAAATTTCATTTCTCGTTTAATAATAGACGCTCGTCTAACTTTAAATGTAAATTTTTAATATTATTAAAAGATAGAAATATGATTTGGACCGCACTTGAAATACTTGCTTTTCAATCAGATAGTTATTTTCAGGACACGGTAAGAGGAAACGTTGTTCCACTTTTGTCACTTTTGTATGCTTCGAGTGTCCTCGTCACTTATTTTATTCAATACATACATGCTATTATTTATAAGTTGGACTTCTAACTCTAGAAAACAAATTTTAACAACCTAGACAACATTTTTTGTATTCGGTTTAACAAAAATTATCATCATGCGTCACACGAATAAAAATATTTTTTATTTAATTTTTATCTGGAAAAAATTTAATATAATAGATTATAAAATGGAAATTATTTAGTTAAATTAAAAAAAAAGTCTCCAAACTTTTCAGACAAAATTTGTTTTTAATAAAATAATTTTTCTCGAATAAAACATGTATAAACTTTATGCATAGGAGTGAATTATATTTTTTTTGTTCAGCATAAAAATAGTAAAAATTTGAACTGAAATACCAGCAAGATGCAGTATAATTTTATTTTCGCTAAGTAAAACTTCATACAATACTCTTTAATGTCGATCAATAAAAAGTATTAGTTCAAATATTTTATAGCCGGGCAAATGTTTATAAAAGAATACCATTCATTTCGATTCGTGATTCAATGTTGAAATATTATGTGCCATAAAAATTATACAAAACTAAATCGATTTTTAATATGACTTCCCATACACCTAAAATGAAGAGTTTGTTCCAAACGATTATATTAAACGTTTTATAATAAAATCAGGTCATGACTAAGATAAATTAAATGAGTGTAAAACAACTTCGTCTGTATCATTAATACAAAATATCAATTTTTCCCTTAATAGAAAGAAACTTATCTAAGGAAATTATTGTTGAAAGTCCATTAATTTTTATCGATAAAAATATCTTTAAACTGAACTAATCTAGCCATCGATCTTGTGAAAAAACTTGAAGATAATTATAAAACAAAAAAAAATTAATGAAGTAATTTACTGCGAATAAAATATAGTGTTTCTAATGACCCTGACCAAACTTTGTTCGCATAGAATGTTTTGATCGCATTAACAACATGTTCTGGTTGGTTTTAAAAACAGTTCTTTTAATAGTTTCAATATGGTTTTTAGACCTTGAAGGATTTACTTTACCGTTGCGTAATATTTATTTAATGCTGCCACCCGAAAACCATAAACGATGAACATCACTAACGGAATCCATCGTTTTATTATTCGTTATGAAAATGCAGAAATTTGATACGAGTTGTATTAGGCAGTAGCTTGAGACCGTTTTCACTAAAGAATGGGTAGCATTGTTTCATTAATATCAGTTTAACGTATTAAGATCGTTCCATAAAAGATTAAAAACAAAATCAAAGCGTTTCCATTAATACCTATCCATAAAAAAAACCCAACCTTGTGTCTAATGAATCCAAAAAATGTACGAGACAGAATCCGTTCAAAGCTTTTTGTGTATTTTTACGTATGTTTTAGTATCGAGTTAAGGTTAAATAGATTAAACACAAACTTGGCCAACCGAGCTCTATATACGTTCGACCTACGTCTGCTCATCCCAGTGCGTGACACTGAGTGATGAATGAGTCCCATTCTACGATGAATTGTACAGAGCAAAAGTATCCTGATCGATTAAGTACACCTTAATTTTGTACAACTCATAAATACATTATCAACAAGTCGACTACAAAATGGTTGTTTACTTACTAATAAATTTTACGTGAACACGTGCATTTCAATTTACCATCTTAACCAATTCGTCGTGTAGTTAACAAACCTATTTTGCATTAAACCATGCCTTTTTTAATTTTTAAATAATACAATAAACACGAGCTATATATTGTGTAAGCGAGGAGCGATATTTATTGCACATTATGTTTTAGGTTGCCTATAAAAAGGGTTCAGCCCATTTAATATATTGTCCCACATTTTGTAAATGTTAATCCGGGCAACGCAAGATCGTAAAAGTCCAATTTATATATATATATACTTGTGTGTGTATGGCAATCCTTTGATTAGAAAGTTTCCATTTTAGTGCACATCAAAACGGATTATATATATTTTAATCAAACATTACTTTTAAGTCGACGAGAGAGGGAACATATGACACTAGGCTCAAATTACTTGGTCAAAATTATTTTTGGATTATACCTCAATAAATTCCACGTGAAAAAAAACTGACATATTTAAATTTAGACTATCATTCTGATATACTTCAATGACACGTTACTTTTTGTGAGGCCGGTAAAAATCAAAAGAAAAGCACGTTAAGGCTAAGAACACTTTTTTCATAATCAAGCATATCTAATAATACACTTTATGGTGGTTAATACATTAAAAAAATTCCATATACACGCACGGACCAACATGATATAACTATTGATATAATAGTTTGGACAGATTAGCTGAATGCGTGTAAGGCACATTTCATGGTTCGAAACTTTCCATTAATTATAAGAGTTTTCTGCTAAGCCATCTCTCATTGTATGATTTGCATTAATATGGCATCCAAGTTAAACGTCTGGAAAAACGATGTACATAATTACCTCTATTATTATGTAAATAATTTCCATTTATAATACATAACGTGTAAAATTTGAATTGGTATTGTAATTTAATTAATCTACTGAATTACAAAAAGACAAAATAACGAATTTATAATGTGCGATTTATGTACAGTCGAAAGAAAACAAAAATAATATTTATTTATTTTTAACAAGAGAGTTAATAGCGCACAAAGTATTATTTTTAATTCTAAAAACTTAAATATCATAGAGATTATTTATAGAGAAAAATGGTGAAATTAATAATGAAAAATAAAATGAGTTTCGTTATTAGATTGAAAATTGAACGGTAATTTGAAACAAACCCACGATGGACTAGTCGGACAGAAAAAATATTGCGCCTAATGATAAAAAAACGAAAACCCATAAATGACTCCGGAACGATGAGGTACGGCACACATATCCCTCGGGTAATTCATTACTTCTTTACTGTACACTGCCACCACCTTTGGGTCGGAAATTCGACATGAACCTTACATATTGAAAAATTACACCTACGCACTCTTAAAGTATACACATAGATATGTTACATTCATTCAATTCGGTGGGAAATATATAAATGGCGTGTTTTTTAAAGTCTCGATGGATAAAAGAACGCAAAACACATTCATATTGAAATGCTTGATCAATATAAACGTTGGCTGAGGATGAACAAATATATAGTGAAACTGAAATGAAATCCGCAGAGGAAAACAGTTGGGCTGAAAAACATCCCCTAGCTATTGTAATAAAACGCTCAGCGAGGAATTCGGAATCAATGGTGAAATAAAATATAAAATATTATAAACATGCCACGAAATGAAGGCCATTCCGCAATAAAAAAATACACTGAAGTTCTTGCCGTTCTTTGCTACATATTATATTGTTAGTAAATCGTTGAGAAAGCGTGTACCCCATCCAAATAAAATAAGAAAATAATTGATTTTTTACGCCACGGTAATAGAAATGAAAAAAAATTAGAGCTCATAAAGAAAAAATACAAGATTATTATTTTTATTTCAAACGTTTGAAAAGTTTAGCCTAATAAAGCAAATTTCAATCAGCCAACATCAACTTTTGCTTTAGATTTATATTATAGTTTTGTTATTTACACTTAATTCCTCAGTGACTTATTTTTAATTAAAATCACAAAATATAAGCTAGTTAAAATTAAAATATATAGTTTTGATTTATTAAATAATAAAGATACATAAATATTTATTTGCAATTAGTTATAACTAAAAAGTATCGTTATGAGACCCGTATTAAAAATTAAATTAAGCGTTGACATAACTATTATAATTGATAATAGTTTAAAATATATTATATTTTAAATGTGTGTATATATATAATATACGTCTACAGAGCTTGACAACAACTATTAAGCATTTCAAATCAACTCCAAATTTCTATTGCAAGTTTTCCAGTTTAAAACTAAATCTTATGAGATACATGACACGTAGAAAAAGTTTCTTCGCTTCGATCATCATATAGGAGAAAAACCAAGTACATATATTCTTATTAGAGTTTAAATCTATAAGGATATATCCACGCCTTTGATGGCAATGGCAGAAATGAGAACAAATTGTTTGTGGGTGTTATATTAGTTAGTTCAAAAGTACACTTTTAAGTTTTAATAAGTGAAATGAGATACAAAGAAATAATTACAACCCAACGTCTTGCAAATGAATTTCCAATGCGAATATAAATAATAATGACGTCGCCCTTAGATTATTTTGCCTGAATCAAACAAAATATTCAAAATTTACATTTTCATTAATACAAAATAGTTTGACACATAGGTTTTCATTAAAATTCGCTGTGAAGCCCTTTAATGTGCTACATTGCTTTACAACCGCTGTTATTGTATTTACCTCAAGTAGAATTTTAAAGGAAACTTTACTGACGTCTGTTCGAACCTTTCACTATCTACCGAATTAAAACTTCATATCAGAATTCACTTGAAAGTTTCTTCACGTCCCGTAATACGATTGGAAGATTATAATGAGGCAACAACAAGATATTTTCGGTCAGTTCTGACCAACTAACTCGTAATTTTATTTTCTGAAATAAATATACTACTCATAAAATCATAACTCTTCAAAATGAGTAGCGGGCCAATCATATTCATTGTACAGTAAAAAGTACTAAAATTAAACGATTAAATACGTTTCAAAAAAAAAACGAGTTTTTAAATAAAGATAAACGTAATTTTTTTAACCGTATTCGTTTTTAAAAATTTAATTTAATCTGTACAATATTGTTGTATATAACAGTTATATAGTTGAATTGAATGTTACATAGTTTTTGGAAGCTTACAAATTTAAACAGAAATGTTATGTAACACAAAATAATAATTTCATATTGCACAGAACAAAAAATAACAATTATTTATTTTAGAACAAAATGATTTAAAGATTTAATCAAAATTCACTGTCATATTTTTATAATTAAAAATCAATATTCTTTAGGTGACGATAATTTTGTTGAATAATTTAAAAAAAAAAAAGCTTAAATACCATTAAACCAAATGGAATAATTGTAAGTATTTTACTCTATCATAATATGTTAATGAATGTTGTTATTCATTAACTAATTAAACCAACTACAGCAATTTGCTTTAAATATATTGTTAAATACTAAAGAGCTTTTAATTAATTTTTTCTACGGTCCCCAAAATAGGTAAAAATTAAAGAACTAAATTTCAGTGTAAGTCTTGTCAAAGAATTGACTCTACTTGATGAATACAAAATGATATTTCTTAATAACTCAATAACTTTATTTTTTGGTATAAAATATGCACATCAATAACTACTGCGAGTACCGAAGGCCTTTGGCGATTGTTGTTGAATACAAAACTCCATATGATACGTTTGATAAAAACAAAAAGGTAAGATAATATTTCTTACCTTTTTTATATCGAGAATATTAAACAATATACTCGAACTTCAATAGAAGTTCGAGTAAAAAACTCTCAACTGGTAACGTAAAATAAATTATGCGAACATCCTCTACAGTTTGATCGTTCAAAAAAAGTATTGGTTCGTTTGTAGCCATTTTCAGCCAACAGTTACAAGACACGTATAAAGTTTTAATTATTTTTTTCTAATTAAATGACATATTTTTTAATTTTATTACATATGATACTCCTAAATATATATCACGCATAATTTAACTGTAAATTACAGCAGTTTTCATTGTAACGGAAAATTAAACAACAATTTTTTCCACAAACACGAATGTTAACGGGTGTAAAACACTTAAAATCATTTTTTAATTATGTAGTGGTACTAATTCTTTATGATCGCGTCATACTTTTGACACGAACTATAATAATTACACGTTACGCTAATGGCCATCTTAATAAGTCCTATTTGCCTAAGAGCACCGTACACATCTGATAAAACATTACTTTATAGGTACATTATGATGAAAAAGGGTTTTACGGGTCTTACTATCTATTATTTACCTTCTAACGTTCCGGCATAGGCTTTGCCCGGATCAAATTGGATTGGTCGGTTTTTGGCACCTTCAAACACAACGTCATCAGCAAACAGCTTTTGGTCTGGCGTCAGCAACATTTTGAAAGTCCTTCATTAGAAAACATAAATCACATGATTAATTTAAAGATATGAAAACGTCAGTGTCATTGAAGTTGAACACTGATTTTCCATTTTGTAATGAACAATTATGAAGGTCGACAATAGTGAGTGATAACTAATAATTATGCCCATAAGCGATTACTGATAAATAATAATAGAAGTTTTAATTAAGTCCGCTATATTGTTATTGTCGACGCATTACTATGGTAAGTTTGACCATATTCAAATCGTTAGCCGCCTTAACGCGGAAATGCCGTCTGCACAATGTACAATAATGAAACGTATACAAAGTCACTCCTCCGGTCACAAAAAAAAAAAAAACGATTAGTTATAACGAAAATATAATAATACTTTTATTTCTTAGTGAGGTCGTCTCGAGTACAATAAGAGCAGTTGCAAATACTCGAGATGTTGCGGATCGGATAACGTTTTTATCGTGCTACGCCGTGCCGACCCATTTCAGTACATAAAAACTGTTACATTTAATAAAACGCCATGTGTAGAAAACGAATAACACATACGCTTTGTATAAAAATTATTGTTTTATTTCGACGAATAATGTGAGTACAGAAAATCGGAATATAACTATCTAATAAATTTGTTTTCCTTGTTCGATGATACAATAATATTTTCTGGTTACATAATTTTCCAAAAGGTGTACTCGTATAGATAGGTCTGAAGTATATGCGGAGTTTACCTATCTCGGCGATCGTTATTGCCCGAGGAACCGCAAAACTCTCAAAAGTAATAAAACCCAGACATATCAGTTTAGGACAATTCGCTGGGGATACAAACATTTATACGAACGAGTTATTTGCGACATCACAATTGTGAGCTGTCTATCGAATACGGCGAAAAACTTTCAGATCGTAAACGTCGAGTTTAATAAGCTTTTTTGAGGATTTTGAACAAAAAAAAACCAACTCGATTAAATAACTATTTTGCAATTTACTCAAAAGTAAAAATATATATATATATCGCAAAAGAAGTAATGGGAAAATAATAATAATCACGATATTGTTCCGTATTTATTTATGAGAAGTAGTAATGATTTCAATCAAACTTTTCAATTCCTAGTACAAAATGTAATAAAACTCGCATGCGACTCGATTGACTAAGGGCCTTTTCCATTAAAACGCCTATACACGAGATACAGATACATGGATCGATTTCGCTATATTTTACTCGAGCTATTATTGTTTTTTTTTTTGTTATTAAATAAAACGTAAACTCGGTAACAAAATTTAGCTTTGAAACAATCAACTTTGAAACCAATAGTTTTTCTTAAAAAATAATACTCGGAAAACCAATAAAATGATTATATTGAAGGAATCGTTTTTGCGAAAATATTATCAATCGACTGCGATGGAAATAAGAGTGAAAAAAAATGTTAAAAACCGTTTGAACACATTTTTTTTTTTTCATGATGGATTTTCATTGCTTGGCGCACTCGTAAAAGAGCAACGGCAGTCGTGCACGGACAACTGCGTAGACTAACGAAGTGTAAAATATTATTTATATTTTTAGCTGCAACCCGAGAATAAAGTTGGTGTTTTATTCAGCGCCGACTATGAAATTATCGTCGGTTGTTATTCATTTTGCTGGAAATTCGACGGAATTATACAGGCGAAAACCGCATGCACCGCGACGCGTACACAGGTGACTTGACATGATTTGGCGTCAAACGTGACCCATTTACCTGATTATGGGAAAAGCCAACAACACATACGCGCGCACTCTACACAAACGAATGGCTTCCGAAGCCAAACTCGAGCCCTGCGAAACAATGACACCGGCACGTTTTTTATCCAGAGGACCAAGCGTCGAGATTCGTTCTTCGGCACGACCCAATAGCCACACAACACCGTGTGTACGACAAAAAGTAAACAATTAATAACAATATTTTCCCCTTAGTCAGTACATAACCGTGAAACGCAATGCACACGGTCGGCGGCACAGGACAAAGACCGGTGAATGACCTTGCCACAAGCATTGAAACAATGAGAATACACATGACGTCACATTAGTATGCACTAATATACTTATATGCATACGCGGGACCTTCGCGGTGTAACAATATTATATTGTTCTGGTTTTTCTACGGCCGAGAAGAAGCGCGCGGTGTTTGCGCCACTGTTTTCCAGTACGTATTCAGCTCACGGAGAGTGGCGAACGCGAAGAGCACCGCTGTCATTGATACGGTTGTGTGCATGTACATATTTTATTGTGTTATACGTTGCGTATTATCTTCTGTCCCGTTGTCGCGCTACAATTGACGGTTGCCCAGAGGAAAATGTATCGCAAGCATACTCGCAGCATAGCGTGCGTTACACACGACCGACAAAACACTTCCTTATTGGAAAACTGTCATTGGAACAGCGGTGCTATAGATATATTTCCATACGCACGTCTGTTATTGTGTAAGTCGATCCGCATTATTATCGCTGTGCTATATCAATTGCACGTGTAAAGCCGCGCAATCTGCCGTGCCGTTTTCATTACAAACAGATAATTATATTCTACGCCTGCTCGAAAATATAACAAATGCTGTTGGCCGTCAAATACTTGCGAGTAAACTAAAAAACGTGCGATTTCATTTTTATACGGGCACGAGAAATAGCCTGGAAATGACACACAGACGCACTTTCAATAGGTACGCGTGAAAAACAATTTCAAAACGTATATAAGAAAATCTGTGTGTCAGCCAAGTCTCTCTTAAACCCCATAGCCATTCGGGAGAAGAACAAAATAAAGCGATTATATTTGAAACTGAAACAGTTTTACAAACACAAAACCAAATGTAATAACTGAACACTTTGAGATTGTCTACGAAATAAACTATAAAAATAATAATATCTGCTGTTTAACGTTCAAATACCTACACAAACATCCAAGTCGTTTTAACTACAACCAATGTTGATGAGTCGAGTGTCATCGAGTTTACGTCAATTACACAGGACATTTAATACATCACGTTGTACTTGATACGGTTCAAGATAAGAAATATAATAGGTCGGAACAAAAGTCTCTTGGTTTAAATTCTTGTGGGTTTAGAGTAATTTGAATACAAGTTCAACTACAATATTCTCGATATGATTAAGTCATGTTAACACTATAGACTAGTGTTATTTTAACCCCGTAAATATAATTCAAATCATCATTCCCAAGTGAAAATCAACGTTGTATGACTACAACTGCAATTTGGGGTTAAAATAACTCGAAAAATTCATTTTTCTGTGCGTACGACGAGTAAAAATTACGTTAAAAAATACCTTTATAAAGAATTTATCGTCGAACAACGATGGAATAAATTACGCTAAACTGTAAATAAATTTCTAAAAGTATTTATTTTTATAAAGATAACGGAATTAAAGCTTTATTTTCCAAATAAATTGTACGAAAAAATAATTAAAAAATGGAGTGCGTGAAACTTTTTTTTTAAAAAACTCCACATAACTGACTGTTGGCGTATCTGTATTTGACATTTACTTTCAAGAGGTCGACCTTTGGCTATCTTTTTTTAACTCGACATTAGTGGAGCACCTAATTAATAACAGTCGACATTTAAAAAATAACCTTTGCGAGCAATAAACATTGTTACTTGCCATTCATACAAGTACTTTTTCATTGTGTCCGGGAAATTATATGAGCTCTGAAGAATTATAAAAGCGCAAACGTAATATAACATCACTTAAATAGGATAAATACGTTGAATGGCAAAGTTATTTTCCTGAGACCACATGTACAAGTTAAATAAACACATGCTTGAGAACGAACAAAGAAAAAATGATTAGAGAAAAGTTGTTGGCATTCAAAACACTAAAATATTCAATCTGCTGTGAGATCCAAAGCCACACATATTTTATTAGCGTTCACAAAATACTCGATTTGCGGATATGATAAAATTCTAAGTTTATAACAAATAATGATGAACAAAAATAGCAATACCAATATATTAGCGCAACGCCAAATAAGTAGTTTTAACCTTCGAAATATATTAATAAAGTTTTATGTAATTTTAAGATGAAAAATAACTCGAAAAATTTAACTAAGATTTTTGTAAATTTTTATCTTTGAAATTCCATACAACGTGGTCGTAATACCTTTATAAAAAAAAATTGTTTAATTATTCATAGCGAGTAAAACTTAATTTTTGAACGAGCTCTGCCGAATGTATAACAGCAAAACAAAAAAGTTGCGCGTGTAATTAAATAATATTAAGCTTAAAAAAGTTTTTTCTCGTAATCCTTGTTTGAAAAATACGACGGTCAAACTACCATAAAAATTGGATTAACAAAGCAATGAAAAATAATTCTCCTATTTGTGATTTCAAGTGATGATTTAAAAAAATGTATTCCAATGGATATTAACGAACGGCATAATAAACGTAGAATTTTATTTCAGAAATTCTCTGCGGCTATTTTCACAACACGCTTTCGTGTAAAAATATTTTTAATAGACTTTTTATCAATACAAATTGTTGTATCCGATTACATTAAAAATGATTACGCGTCGGGTTACAGGATATTGATTATACAGACCCAAGTTGGAGTTGCATTGAACAACGCCAGTGCGAATACGCTAAGGTATCAATCATACGAGTAGGGAATAAAAAATCGTTGCCGGCGGTATCGGCCAAAAACAATCGAAGATTTACTACTTGAAAGTGCCAAGAGGACGAGTTTAAAACACATTACACAGATCTAATTCGATGACAAATGAGAAATATTTTTATTGGACGACGAGATGTACAAATACAAACTGATCGTACCAATAAAACAATAAGTACGTTTTGAATGTAAGTTATTGCGCACGATCTCACGTGTCATAAGCGATTGTCTCGGCGCGTCAAGTGTCTATTACATAAATTACCGCCAAATATTATTCAGCGATTTTGAGTTCAACAACATGTCACCACACCAATTCGATATATCAACGTGGAAATTTATTAATAATAACAACAGTGTCGTTTAACAACGGAACCTACCC